AAAACTAACCAAGCAATGCAAGAATTCCCAAATTTTGATTTCCAACAAATCTCCTTTCTTCTGACAATTCAACTATTTTCTATCGTCCTGGAGATTAATGGTTTCGCGAAGCTTGGAGTCAGAATGCATTCATTGACCCTGATAAAGCGTTTCCCTACGTTCTTGTGTGTTTAGCATTGTCCCGCGAAAAATGGCTGTTTGCTTTTCTGCTGGCGGTATTTTTTTGCAGTCAAAATATTGTGGTAAACCGTCAGAAAGTGAGACATGAGGTTGAGTGATGATTGGTTGCATGGTGGAAGGGAGTTGGCAAGATTGTGAGAAATTGGGCTCTTTTTATGACAAATCTACTCTTTTTGATGTAGTACAATGCTGAATTACACAGGGACAGCTCACAGAAAACATATTTTGATATACTTTTATTAGGTGTAGATGATTTAGGCCTACATATTTATATTGATAAGTTTCTCTCTCTTTCACCATTTAAGTATATTATTGATAATTAAATTTGATGCTCTGGATATCATAATCCATTCCCAAATCTGTTGATCTGTTAACCTTGAATTTGAATCACAATTTTTTTAATTTTTTTTAATTAAAGCTCTGGATTTTAATGAGTCTGAGAACACATTACCCATACATTCAATGACTTATCATTGCATGTGGCATGAATGTTCATTATAATGTTCATGATGTATAATAGAGAGAGGCCTTCATTAAAAATAAATAACTTACATAAAACTAGAATGATAATTAGTATGGCATGTTACATTAGATGTTGCAGGAGAGGACATAACATTGTTCAATTTTTTCCACAAGTTGATGTTCCATGAATATTAGACATGTTTAATAATGTACTCAATTTTTTTTTTGTCATCCAAAAAGACCACTTTGTATTTTACCTATGTATGAGAGTGACCATAGCATATAGGCCTCAAGTTGGCTGTGTTCTCATAATTTGCCTGAGCTATGTCAAGTTAGGTCTAGTTCCAATATTTATCCCAAATGCATATATTTTATCACTAGATCTTTATCCCTGCCTAAAATGAAAGAGGAGGACTTGAAAGTTTGATCGCTTAGAAAATAAACATATGTTACCACATTTCATTTCTGCATTTTGGAGATGAGTAGCAATAATTCACCCCGCAGTCAAAATGTTGGTACCCTTTGTCAAAAGATATCTCAGTTATTCAAAGTTTACTAGGGCATCTGGCGATTTTGGTTGACAAATTGTAACAAAAAATGACTAGGTGTTAAGTTTTTGTTTGGGAGTGTTTGGCCGAATGCAAGGATGCACGTAAACGATTTGAATTATAATAAAATGTGACAACCTATGACTCCAATGCTGACATAGGACACACATTTAAATCAACAAAGCAATTATTATCCATACATTGGGCACATGATTCATGTAAATCATATTCTTTTAGATCATTTAGATCATTAAGATTTTGTAGTCATAATATTTACCAATAATTGTGTTTTGATTTCTATGATTATAGCTTACTTAACTTCATATTTTATTAGATCGTATTTCTCATTTTTATGTAAATTATAGAATCTATTCCTTCAAGAAATATTTTGATCAGCTTTTCCATTTTGATACTGTTTATACTTTATCAAAATGTTCTACTTCAACAGTTTTGATATATGTTTATTGTGCAGTCACTGATTTCAGATTTATTAAGCTTAAGTGCTGAGGAGTAGCACTATAGTTTTCCAGTAGCGACAACAAAAAGCAATTTAAGAAAAATCTTTGTGAACTAAAACCTACAATGTGAATCAAACAATTTTTTCCTCCACATTAACCTGATGCTTTGCAATTGTGTAAAAGGATTTCTGATTCCTTGTAAATTTTATGGGTCAACAAATTCTATCCAGGTGCAGAAGGAAATTTTCTTTCACAATACATTAATACATTTTCCTCTCTCTATCCTGGTGTATAGATTTGTGAAAGTATGAGCAAAAACAATAATAATCATTAAAATAAGCATTTTTTTTTCCTTTGAGGTATTCTGTCTAGAGGTGCATATGTAAAGATGTGATTGTAACGATGGATAACACCAGTCACAGCTGATAAGTCTACAAAGTGATTAACCGTTTTATTTGGACCACAAGCATTTGAACTTCTCCTGTGAAGAATGATTGTGAAGTTCAGTGTGCACTTTGTTGGAAGTTCAAAGAGTGCAACAGTTTCAGTTCGCTGTCCCTATCACAGCTGATTGGCTGGAAGGCAAATGTAGCCATGTTGCTCTAAAAAGTTTCGAGTGCTGTCAAAGGGAGTTAAAGGAAAGTAAGTAATTAAGATATTTTCCTGCCTACCTCTCCACTAAAAAGAAATGGTAGGAGGAGGTTACTCATGTAGAGGGAGTACTCACAGTCTATACCAATGGACAATATTTGATTTGAAAAGAGATTAAGCAATTCGTCGCTGTTTTCATGAAGTGACGGTAGTGAAAACAAAGTGCATACAGTTTGCGTGACGATTTTCCTCACTACCGTCACTTCGTGAAAACAGCGACGAATAGATATCACCAAAGATTCAGTTGAATTTGTTGAAGGTGACAAATTTTCAGTGAAAAATTTGGAAGATAAATAATGAGAAAGATCATGAACACATAAATGTTAACCATCAGGAAATGCATAATGAATTAAAGTATGTATCCTTTTAAGTTTTAGTACAACATTGTTTGCTCAGAACCATGCTTTTTGGTCTTCATAGGCAATTAATCTAGGCAGGGCTCAGCAAAAAACTCTTTCACAAATGTCCAAACTTTTATGTTCTGGTGAATGAGGTCACATTTACCATATTTTTTTTGGAGAGTCTGGAGTTGGAATATGAGTCCCTATGTGCACCCATCCCCTACAAGTGTAACGAGCCCCAAAATATGGATACCATGTAGAGTAGACCTGTTAAAAGTCAGTGACATTTAGGGGATGATGTAGTGACCTCAGCATTAATCAGCTAGATGTCTTTCTTTGACTTCCAAGGCTCTCAGTTTTGAGGAAATCGTTTTGGGAAGGAAAGAAGAAATTATACAGGATACATTTATCGGTGATATGAATGTGCACATTTTGATGTTATGATAACGAGGGGGATTGCTAGTACCTGTATGGGTGGTATACCCTCATAGCTGGAGGGCTAGAGATCTACAGGTTGGAAGTGATTAGAAGTATAAACACCCTACCTCTACCCCTCTGAGACCCTCCCTCGCACCCGGGTAGCGAGCCATGAAATAAAGGGCTCTGTCAAGTTCTCTTCAAACTTCAAAGGCAGACAATGATTGTGCGCAGCAGTAAGAGATTGTATATACATCCAGAAAGTATAAAGTTTTATGAAATAAATTGTTCTACAGTGTTATTTCATCAACGCTGAATCAAAACCCTTGGCCAACACTTTGTTTAGAGTATAATGTACATATGCACTGTTTGTGTGACAAAAGATGACTGGCAATCCGGTGTTTGTTTTAGTGGTTGAACAAAGTCAGTAAAGAGTTAAGCTGTCTCTTGTCTTTTTTTATAATTCCAATGGACTTAATATCATTGTTTCCAGTATTTTAAACTTCCATTATTTCACAGCTCTCTTGCCACCCAACTGTGCACTTGTAATCCAAGCTAAGATCAGTCTGGAAAGTGTCTGTTGGGTGACCTAAGATGACCTAGCTATGACCTCACTTGACCTTTATACCTGGGTAGGAGGGTCAATCACTTGTGGAGCTTCAAGAGAGAGATGATTTTTTTTGGAAACATTTCTTCTGACTAGCATGAGTTTCCTTTTAGGTGTACAGGGTGGGGAGGATGGTGAATTGCCCATCGGTCTACAACCAGTTCATCTACTACCCAATTGGTCTATTCCCATTTGGTCTACCAGTACACCCAGCCTGTCTTCTATCCACATGGTCTAATGATCATTTCGTCTACTTATCATTTGGTCCAATGACCATTTAGGCTACTTATCATTAGGTCTAATCTCCAAAAATTCTACTGCCCATTCAGTCTATATTTCATTAATCTACTTATATAATCATTAGATAGTATAGTATTAATGACTGCTTTGAGAGAAATAGTTGTTTTTATACGCTCAAGGGAAGGTTAGAATTGTGCTATTACCCGAGGCTTGCCGAGGGGAATAGCCCAATTGTAACCTTCCCGAGAGCGTATAAAAACAACTATTTCTCGAATATTAAAGCAGTCGTTAATACTTTTATATGCCGAAAAAAAATAGACTAAAAAATAAAAAATAAGAAAATACTTTTTCTTTTTGTCGAAGGTGAGAGTCGAACTCTTGCGTACAATTAGTGATGCATCTTTCACCAACGCCTTACACCACTCGTCCATCGCGCGCTGTTCACATGCTTGGCAGTTTTGTACAATATATACATTAAAATGGATTGAAACCGGCTTCGGCGTGATGAATGCTTCGCAAAAGCACCCTTCTTTTACTTTTGCAATGCATATTGGCACGAACTTAGATCAAGATCTATCGGCAGATGTTGTTTTTTTGTTTTTGGAAGTTTATTTTCGTCTTCATGTCAACAATGCAAAATAAAATTGTCGGTAAGATCGATCGAGATTCAATTGTATTGAAATTACCGACCAATCCTTCGCACACATACGGTATCCTCGATCGCTCAAACCATTTTTTAACATGTAAACCTATGGGGTAACCATGGAGGCTGACCTATTTTTTTAATAACCATGGTTATTAAAAATATTAAATGTTTTATGCATGGTTACCGGGAATTTTACAGGAACAGTTGAAGTTTATGAATGCAATTTCGACCAATCAGATGGCTGGATTACTTAAGTGAGGTATATAATTATTATTATTTATGATTAAATGTTTGAAATAATGAATGAAATAATTTTGTTCCACAAATGTTAAACTGACTTTGGTGCTTTGATTTCCCTCTCCTCTACTCTCTTGCTCTTCAACCCAATTACGCATCATCTAATAAAACCATTCTCCTTGTGTCTTTGTCTCTCTCTCTCTCTCTCTCTCAGGTGCTCCAGGCAGGCAAGGTGCACAAGGTCCTCCAGGAGCTACAGGCCAACAAGGCAAGAGGGGTAGATCAGGTATTTAATCCGCAAACCATCCAGCAAACCATTCCATTCCCTAAGCTTCTTCACAGCATCAAACAAGGCCTCTCTTCATCAGCTCAAGTTTGCCAAATAACACGCTATTTTCAGACTCTGGATATAACTTCGAAGCTTGAAGTTGCGTCATCATCAGACCGATACGCCCATCACAAACTAGCTCGGACGGGCGCAAATTAGCCTGCTATTTCCCAAACAGTAAGATATTTTGAAAACAAAAATCAGATTTCTCTGGATATTTTCCCGAACTAATATCCCGCTAATTGCAACTGCGGGCTGATGGAGACGCAAATAAACTGGTTCCTTTGCAATCGGGATAGTTGAAATAGTTGGTTATTTGGCAAACTCGAGCTGATGAAAACAGGCCTTATTCTTCTTTTTTTTTTATTATTTAAGGTATACTGAAGGTATGCGGCCAGTAAGGGTTTTGCAAAACAAGGGGGCAAGTGCTTCCCCCCCTCCTTCCTCCCCTTGATTTTCCACTGCAGAAGGTGCTATGTCAGATGCCTAGACATATTCCCTTCTGATTCTCAGCATGAAATTTTAACAGCTTCAAAAAAAACTTCACAGCCAGAAAGTCATATGTCAACAGCGTGGCCAGTGAAAAAAAATACAATCTAGAAGTAATTTAAAGTCTCTACAATCTTCCCACACAATGAATCCCTCCTTGTTTCCATTACACTTTGGATAGACATCATTTTCTTAAACTTTATTTTTCTGGATCCAACAAGGTTCCTTTCAGCAGTTTGTGAGTCTACCAAATGTGTAAATCCATCCTTTTGAACATTGATTCAGCACTTGATGTTTTATAGAGAGTATTAGCCTATATTTCTTCATAAAATTGCAAATGCTTTTGAGAATCTGGAAAAAATTAAAGCCAAGATATTTTCCAGACTTTGATTTTCCATACCATGCCTGCTTCCGTACCAGACAAACATGCTAGAAGATTACATAATTGCTATAAATCCTTTCATCAATTTGCTTCCCCACCCCAAAGAATAGTAATGACAGCACATATTATTCATGAATTATATTTCTTTTTACTTTGTCAGTCGTGTAACAGCACTATTAACTTTGTGTAAATTCAGTGTGGGTAAGACCATTCAAGGGTTGCATCTGAGATGATAGAATGTCCTCAAACGAGTGCTTCAAAAGTACCATCATGATATTGATATCAATAGTTAGGTCCCCTGCCAAAAGTTCATTCCTGAAGCTTTGTTTAAAGTACAAGGGTCATGAGCAACCAAGGAAGTCAGGCAAGATACCCCCTCCAATGCCTCTTCCAATGCAAGAACATATTTTTGATCTGGGCTTTTAGCAGAAATCTAGCTATAGCCAGGGTTTAGGAGAGAAAATCCACTGGCCGCTGCTTGAGATACCTTCTCAAGATGTCCCTGTTTATTTTAGGAATATTCCAAGTTCTTATGAAGGTCAGGTTAGGAAGTTCTTGAAGAGAAAGAGAGAGCCCAGAGTCTTGTTGATAAGTAGATTATTGAAGGTTATGGTGTGGGAAAGAGGACTTTGTCCAGTGGACCCAAGTGTTCAAGCAAAAAAGAAAGTCCTCACTGTGATTTTCGCAAGAGAATTAGGATTTCCCAGTAACAGTGTGAATTATAACGGATTGAGTTGTTGTGTTTCAAGAGGGGAGGTTGGGGGGGGGGGGGGGGGGGGGGGGGAGTCCGACAAAAGTAGGCTTGTGTGGTTGATGGAATAATAAGAAAGATGTTTCTAGTGGTGACTTGCACTTTTGTCAAGAATATACCCGAGGGATATGATTTTGCAATCCATAATTGAGGAAACTATGTACAGAACCTATTCATAATTATAAAAAATAAAATCTAGTTCTCTAATTTAAATATCTGAATAGGGACAGATAAGTAAAACTGGACACGTGATAGTTGGGTGGAATTAAGGAAATTGTACGAGAACAGACCAAATTATTGTGAGGATGGTTATTAGGGAGGGAACTTTTGTCAAAAAATTTCCAGATTGAAGTAGATTTGAATGGATAGGAAATAATAGAAGTCATTAACAAATATGCTATTAACACTTATTGTGCTGGAAGCTGTAAAACTGAGGCGGCTAATTTATTTCCTATTCTTTATAAATGACCACACAGGCTTGCTCTGGTTGGATGACACTACACCCATTCTTGTGATAGCATTCAGAAGAATCTTGAGAAAACTAACAAGCCATATGAAAGTATTTAGAGTAATCCAGTAGCCCCAGCTGCTATGGAAAATATTTTCTATTTTGTAGGAGGGGAATGCCATTCCCAGTTGTCAAAGGGTGCAGATCAGTATTCATTCTCTCATGTAAATACAGCCACAGACTTATGAAATTCGAAGAAAAATGGTTTAAGGTAGAGCAATATAAGTAGGAAGGAGAGATATGTGATGGTGTTTAGTGAGATATAAGGTGTTATACACTTCTGGTTGGAAAGTCTTGTGGTAACTTTTCAGAATTCTATTGGGATAAGTCATATGTAGTGACAGAGGAGCATAAACACAGAATTCCTGAACAGGAAAATAACAAAGTAAAAATGGGGAGTAATTTTCCAAATAGTGTTTGTTAGTTATTATGGATGTTTTTGTTTAAACATTGGACAGAGAAAACAGAAGGGGGAAGAAAAAAAAAAGACAAATCTTAATACATGTCATTTTCTCAGGCTTTTCATAAGAATTGACCACAATGTTGACTACTCTTACTAAAAAAATGCAGGGTGTTTTAAACATTAAGTTATTGATTTTTAAAATCAGAAAAAGAAACATAGGATGGGAACAAGTAGAGGTGTTGTGGACTAGTGGATAAGTCACCCGACTGCAGATCACAAGGTACGGGGTTCAAGTCCCGCTGCGTCACTAATGTCCTCTGGCAAGATGTTAATCTACATTTGCCACTCTCCACCCAGGTGTAAATGGGTACCTGATATGCTTGAGCGCTAGTTACTTTGGCAGCTCAGCTACGACCAGGGGTGATATGTGTAAAGCGCCTTGAGTGTCAGAACCTGAGGGATAACGGCGCTATGTGAATAACCATATTATTATTATTATAATAATGAAGAGGGCTATGGCTGGAGCATGATAAAGTAGAGGAAATAGAGGGGAGAACAAAATTGGATACATCTTTAAAATGGGTCAAAGGATTTTGAAATAAAGGGGATCAACAGTCACATTTATCATCTCAATGTGATGTACATCTTTCATTGTCAGATAAATTTTCTTTAGGAATATACAAAGAAGTCTGCATCTGATTCTTGAAAGGTGGAAGGAATTTCCAATGAAAATCTTAAAAGGATATGTTCCAGAACTTACTTCCAGGTACATGAGCTTCAATGTTTGTTGCTAAAATTATGATGAATTTCATTTTGATTTTAATACAAAACTAAAGTGAATTGAACATTCATTAAAAGGACATAATTGATATGAACACTCTCATTGCAACTCACAGCTTCTGGAAACATGATTTCAAATAATTTATTCCTGATTTTTCTTTTTAACTGAGTCAAATGCCATTGCATTCTGAAATGAGCGAACAAATACTTCAACTACCTTTAAAGGTGCTATGTCCCATTTGCAGGCCAAAAAAATGAAAAAGTTAAATTCCAAATGCATTTGAAAGATAATACTAATTTAGAACTTCCCTGAAAAAGGTGGGGCTTGAAAATGTCTTCAAGTGGGAAAATAACGACTATTAGTTGTCAAATCGACTTTAGGGCTATAGAGCCCAAAAGTAATAGTCTTGATTTTCAGACAATTGTACCGAATGGTCATACGTTTTATGCTGCGCAAAGATTCAATCAGTTTAATCTTGGCCATCACAAGAAGTGGGTTATTGATGTAGACAAATGCTCATGTACCCTTTACAACTCTTTTCATGTATGTTATTACCCTGAAGAAGAAAAAAAAAAGCCAGTCAGTCACTCAATATTGTCTGACAGTGAAGTCTAGCAAGTAAACGGGTTTCCTTGCATAATTTGAATATGAGGACACTGCTAACGTTTAAATTTCACAGATAGGACATACATGACATATTCATAATTCCTGCAAAGTTCTACAGCATTTGAGGTTGGCTGCAAAAGGGACATAGTACCTTTAAAGTTTTAAGGATGGAAGAGAAAATAATCTATTTTGCTGAAAATGATGCGTATGTTATCATAAGGTTGATCATGAATTCTCAATCTTCTCATATGAGATGTTAGGGGGTTAATATAAGGAGAAAGTCTATTTTACCCTCCTCAAAGATCTAACTTCCTTTTCTTGCTTTAATCTCAGCAGCAAAGGGACATTGTTTTAATTTATGATGGGGAAGGATGAGGATTTTATGAGCTAAGTTTGATAGATTCTTACTAAATTTCCACATTTCTTTATAAATTTAATTTGGGATGGGTTAGAGTTCAGACAGGATGTTATCATTTCTCTATTTATATCAAACCAAGATTTATTGGTCACTTTTCCATTCCTATGTAAAGAAAGGATTTATAAAGCAAACAGATTTCACCCCAAAGTTTGAAACTGTTCTTTTTTCAGCTTTGGTTTTCACATTTTTTTTTTTACGCGTTAGACTTGATAACTCTTTTCCAATTTCAAGTCAGAAAGAAGAGGAAAATTATTGTTTTGTCTGCATATAATGGTGTGTAATTTGTTCTTTCTTTACCTTTTCTTTTAATTCGGAACATTCTTTCATTGTAAGTTTTGACAGTTCTTTGACTGTACTTTTTTTGTAGTTGCTTCAAAATATTTACTGTTTACCTTTTTTGAATAGTTTATACTTTGCAAAAAATAGAAATCGGTTTTTGTTCCTTTGCTCTCTATTATTGATTTTTGCAGTATTTGGTCATATTGGCTTTTGACTTTTTTTGGGTCAGAAATGTATGAACTTTCTCCTTTGATTTTTAATTTACTGATGGTGTAAGAATGGCTTTTATGAAGTCCTTTTCCTCAAGCTTCATCAAAATGCATCTTGCACAATCTGCTTCTTAACTATCGCCTGTCAGCTATATACCGAATGCCATTATTTGTCTTTATTGTATTTACTTTATTTTGCAAAATGAATGTTGAATTATGTTATTTTTATTTGCAGTAATATTCAATGTCAATATAATGCTTGAAAACGATTGATAAGTAATTGTGCTGTTGATTATTTTAGAAAATGCTTATTCTTGTAAGGGTTTCTGAGTACAGAAGGGCAGATTTTTTTCACTCAGACATATTTTTGGTAGTTTTGGAAATTTTATGTTCACATCACAAATTTATTCATGACTGTATCTGTAAGTATAGCATACTCTGTACGATCCTGTAATGCTTGTCAAATAAAGGCTTGCCTGGCATATCAAAAACATTATATTGAAGCTATATTCTTTTAACCAAACTAATACTTTAGAACATGTATCAATAAATATCAACTGGGTTATTTCTTTCAATGTATGATATTGATGTACATTGTAGATGCAAAATAGTTTCTACACATGATTTCTCACCACTTTCCTCCCCCTTTTGTTTCCTTTTCTTGCCTAACTTACATCACTATGGCTACAGGATTCCCAGTGAGTATTGCTATTCTTAGTTTTATTGTGCTACTTCAAAATTTTTAAAACCAATATTTTGTGTTTTTATTCAAACAACTGAGTCATTGAACATCATTTTAAATAATGACTGATACTTGTATAACTGATGAAGATGTAAGAGATGCCTTATGAAATTGGTATATGTTAATGTTGCATGCCATTTTTCTGCATTTTTACTAGGATGATTTGAATTTCAAATTTTGAAGATCTTTTAATGTAGTTTTTAGAATTGTGATGGGATGAAAATTTTTGGTCTACACGCTGCAGTGTAATAAGTCTTAAACATATTATGTATTTAATCTGTATGATTTTATGAAATGAAAATATGTTATTAAGTGAAAAGAAATATATGTAATGCACTAATCTACGAGTAAAATATAATTACCTCTCCGTCATTTCCAACTCTGATGGCAGTGCATAACTAATCATCTACAAGGGTCGTTGATCATGATGGTACCAGGTCCATCGTTGCCCTCTATGTCCGTGTTTTGACCATGATTTTATCTTTATTTACAGGGTTCAATAGGAGCGAAAGGGGAGAATGGTTGGAACGGACAGATGGGACCTAAAGGAACCAAAGGAGATCTGGTAAGTAGTTTAACTCATTGCATACAATAACCATGGGGTTCTGTGTTATAACTATTGGATTGAGATAGTCCAGTAGTTCATGAGTTAAGAACAATTATCAAAAATATCAATGTTGTCCATCTATAGATGAGGAGATTAATCGATAGGCAGGAAGAGAGATATACAGATGTAGGTTTAAAAGGAGAAATGTGGAGTAAAAGGGTGGTAGTATGAAATAGAGATAAAGTGGAGAACTGGAGAGAGTTGTCAAGGAACAGATAAAATAAGACAGGGAAAACAAAGTTGAATCAGCATCTTGATAATATATGTATGCTTCCTAGAGTTACCAATCAAGTGAAGGGGAAAGCACAAGAGATATTGAAAAATCAAAAGGGTATATTGAAAAATCAAAAAGTTTTCTTGTTTCCTTTTAATTCATACAAATTCTCCTGATTTTGGAAAAAAAGGTGAAATCCAGCAAAGGATTTAAATTCCAGTAGAACATGGCCCAGTGACTCTGAATACATATATTTATAAGATACTTATTGAAACTATTGACCAAAACTGAAAATGATAAGTACATTTTTAAGTATTAAAAATAAGCATGCTTTAAAGATGCCAAAGTTCAGAGAGACAATTGCAAATAGCAGATGCACAAATAATTATTCACAATTATGATATGGAGGGGACAGTGACACAAAGATATTACTCCATTTTGAAAAAAAAGTGGTTTATGTGTCACTGAGCACTTGGGCTTTAAGGAGTTAAGTCTATGTTTCATCACTAGCAATTAACTTCAATGGGATGTTGGGTGGAGTTAAGACTTTGTGCTTCCTGGAAAGCCCACATTTTCCTGAACATTCTGATATCAAATTCTCATTTTGGCAAAATATGGAGTTACGTCTTTGTGTCACTGAACCCTCGATATAATCCATTTGCTTTGGTCACTTGACAACTAATTTATCTTCATTTATAATGCATGAAGAACATGATAAAACAAACAGCATTAAAACATTTTCTTTATAATGCAAGAATTGATGACGGGTCCCTTTTATTAATTAATCTTTTAATGGAGTGTTCTAAGGGATCAATCACCTTACAAACATGAACACCATTCTCTTGCCAGGAAAAAAGAGATAAATCATTATAGTCTAAACATAATTATCGCATACATGTACAAGATCAAATTTGGGTAAATATTATATAGCACCATCTGCACTCTAAGCATTAGCATGGTCACTATCTAGTATTTTACACATGATGCATAAAACTACCTCAAAAACTGCTGTGGTAAAATGTAAACTCTCTTAAAAAAAAGAGTGAATTTTCACTCTATTTTCACTTTCTTGGGAGTGACGTCCATGATCACTTGTTTAGGAGTGAAAATCGATTGATTTTAGAGTGCTCTCTAAGAAGAAAAGAGTGAATGTTCACTCTATTTTCACTACATTTTTCACTCTCCAGAGGAGTGACGTCCGTGATCACTCAATTTTTTTTAGAGAGTACATATGAAAAGTAGATTCCAGCAATCATTTGTCTTGATGCTTTTAGTTTTGCTTCATTATATTTTCTCTTGAACAATGTTCCTCCTTCTGTCCTACTCTCAGGGTGTCCAAGGTCCTCAAGGTACCATGGGTTACCCAGGAGATCCAGGCGCTAAAGGTGCACATGGAGTACCGGTAAGAGATCATTTACTTTATTAAATACTAAGCACAGACTTAAAGCCTGTCTGCACTACCTGTAGCTACTTGCGCCCTCTATATAGCCACCAAAGCCTAAGTGGTGACCGTTGATCCCACATGATCCCCTTTGTCTTATGTTAATTGAGAGCTGATTTGATGAGATAAGCACCTGTCAGTGACCATGCAGGAAGGTCTAATGCCTCCTGGCTAAACTAGTGCAGATAGGATTTAAGACAAGTTCATGGATATAGTTGTGTACTGTACCCACTCCTGTCCATCATCAAAGCAACTTCTTAGACCCCGTTCTCACTCACTTTGAAAGTGGTCTTAGTTAGACCGCTCCAGACCGCTCCAGAGGAACGGGTCTTGAGGAACGGTTTGCGAGCGTTCACACTCCGAGCAGTTTTCATGGCTCAAACCGCTCCACGAGTCAAAGTGGTCTTGTTGCTATGGCAGCTCAGGTAGGCGGGTCAATTTTTTTGCGCGCGGAATCCAAACCCTATGTCACCTGATGTCCCGTTCGCGACGCGTCCCGTATACATGTATATGAGTAGTGCCTGCCCGATCGCTCATCGCGCGGAACGTCACTTCCGTTCAAAGTACGCTTTCCGTTCACATTGCACGTTAGAGCGCTCTGGAGCGCTCTTAATAAGACCCGCTCCTCAAGACCACCTCGGAAGGTGGACTTCTGGAGCGGTCCAGAAGTCCGCTTCCTGGACCACTTTGAGCGTTCTCACTCACCTAAGAACCGCTCCTGAGGAGCAGGTCTTAGTTAGAGCGCTCCAGAGCGCTCCAACGAAGTGAGTGAGAATGGGGTCTTAATTTAATAGCAGCACCATGAAAGAAATGGCAGAAGTGTTTGTGTTTGTTTCCCTTGGTCTTACTTTGATTTGTTCCTCATTGTAACAAACAATCAAATGAAAACAAAGCACTTTAATAAGTATATAGTCAGTGGGTATGTAGTTATTGGGCCTTCATATTACAGTATGAGCATTGTGTAAGAGCTTTATTCCCAAGTACCCATTTACTAAACCTGGGTGGAGAGAGGCAGCTGTAAAATTTAAAAAATGGTTGCATTTACATAATTTTTCACCAGTTATAATTTTGTGTATGTGTGTTTGAGAGCAGACCCAGCTCAAACACTTATAACAGGTACATTTTATAGTTCAATACTGCTCAGATCATGCTTCTGAAATTGCATGTGAATGATTTGAATATACCATGAGGCTATGTTTTAATCCACTTTTGTCCATTCTTACTCTTCATTTGTTCTTCTTGTTGGTCCAGGGAGTAGCCGGTCCTCCAGGTGCTAAAGGTGGTAACGGAGATCCAGGTGATCTTGGTCTAATGGGTGAAGCTGGTCTACCTGGTCAGCCTGGTCTACCCGGTCTAGAAGGGATTACGGGACAGATAGGAGCTCCTGGTGCTCCGGGGAATCCAGGAGAGAAAGGAGAGACAGGGGATCCTGGTATGGAGGGGCTCCAGGTAAGACATACATGGAGACTAGCTGCATAAGATTTTTGACTTTCGTAGTTGGAGGATTGGTATAGTAGTGGTGGTTATTTTACCTGACTGCTAAGAAAGCATAAATGCTTGTTAGTAAGCAACCAGAGGACTGACTGCTTTAGGTCCTCTCCGAGGGACCTGGTAATGAGGATTAATGCCTTACCAAAGGGCACTAGTGTTTCGAACATGGGTCACAGGATTACGAGACCACTGCTCTACCAACTGAGCTATCGCGCCTCGTGATAGGTATAGTGACAGGCTAGTATTTATTTTTGTAAGCACAGAATACATAAAGGTTTGTGCTTGTTTTTTTTTTAATGTTTGATCGATATAAACAAAAATAATCTTCTAAAGTAGTCATCATAGGGTGGAAGGAGGGGGTAATTATCTGCAAGATCTAATAAATTCCTATTTCTGTACCTGTTAAAGCAGCATCGGGCCTGTATTGTCAATGAATGTTACAAAATGTATAATCATTCATGATAAAGAACAATGTTGGAGAATTCAACAGCTTTTGGAAGTCACTTACAGTCACATTCATGGATGCTCATTTGATATTAGGATAATCTTTATGCACACTTTTGTAACTTTTTCTTTGGAAGGGTCCAACAGGAATCCAGGGATATGGAATGAAAGGTGAAAAGGTAAGTTGTTGTAAATAGACATTTGCTGATTTTTAAAAATTTTCTTCAGAAATTGAGAACAGGACATTATAAATTTAAGTGTAGATATGAGCAAACTTATATGAAAATTGTAACAAATAGAATACCTTTAATGTTATTACCATTACAAATATCAATATCTACCCATCCTTATGTGATGTCATAACTTATTAAAGATAAATGAAAAATTTGAAATGAAAAATATATCCTTTTATTTATGTTTGAAGATCTTTGATTTGTAATATACATGGTATGATGTATCCTTCAAAATGTGTATGATTTTTTTTTTAATATAGAGGGTGTTTTGAAATGTAAGTGTATTTTTTGTTTACTTTCTTGTGTAGTCTTGTAGAGTTTACAATAAAAGCATGAGTAATTATTAATCACTAACCATATTAACCAATCAAACACTAACCATATCAACCATATCAATATTTTCATTTTTTACAGGGTGACACCGGAGATTTTGGACCAACAGGGCTCACAGTAAGTTGACTCATGCAAAATGATTAAACAGTGACCAACTATGAAAGATGATAAAAAGACTGTAAATACCCCAAAACACCAAAAAGTGAAGATGTGTACAACATTTTGTTTTGTGTGTGTGTGGGAGTGTTGGTCAATCATTGCCATGAAAAATGAATGTCATTTTTTATCAATTGATAAATAAATATTGCCAAGGTAAGGTAATTTTTTTATAGAAAAGAAGGATGAAGGGCATTTGGTTTACAATTTGTTAAAATATAAATGATTAAATTGTATTAATTGTTGTTTCCTTCTTTCTTTTGCTATCTCTCTCTCTTCTCCCCCTCTCTATCTCACTCTTTTTCTCCCTCCCTCTCTCTCTCTCTTCTTCTCTCTCTATCTTCTCTCTTTCTCTCTCCTCCCCCTCTCTCTCTCTCTCTCTTCTTCTTCTCTCTCTCTCTCTTTCTCTCTCTCTCTCTCTCTCTCCCCCTCTCTCTCTCTCTTAACAGGGTCCCTCTGGTGAGCTTGGTCCAATGGGACCTTCTGGTGAAATGGTAAATAGTTTTGTGATATTCTCCATGTAAATGAGCCGTTCATGAGATAATCTGATGCGTTTGACTATGTTTAGCTCCATCTTTCCTCTAGAAACAGATACAGGCACAATACATGCTTTGTGAATTTTCTTGGACTGCAATGATTAAACATAAAGACTTGGATTACCTGGAAAATATTCTGAATTCAAATTAAAGATTTAATGCTTTTATGGACTGTAACCTTTATATTTACAGTAGCTCATAGTATTTGATTTAATAGCTTGATTATGAAACAAATGGTATAAAACATAGAGGATAAGATAAACGCTTTGAGATTCTTAGTAATCAGAATCTATTTTTGTTTTTATCTCTCTTTTAGGGTACCCCTGGCCTACCTGGTGCAAAGGTATTTTCATGTTTTTCTATTTTCATACTGGTATCTTTTTGTTGTTGTATAGAATGATGATTTTGAGAATAATGTTTTGTTGTTCTAGCTGTTCCAATAATAATAATATTGAATATTGTAACAGGATTTTTTTTTTCTTCTCCATTATCTTTATAAAAGGAAAATTATTTTGACAAAAGTGGTCATCTGAGTGAAAAAAAATATGTTTCATGTCTGAATAAAATTGCAAATATTATAAAACATATTTATTCAGAATCATTTTGGAGTAAGCAGAAGGCTGATTTATATAATCTTTGCTATTTCTTTACAGGGTGAAAGAGGAGATGTTGGACAAGATGGACAAATGGTGAGAATAATAATTATCTTAACCATAATTAATTTTAAATACATTTAATACAAATTCATGATTGTCTTTTGTACCATTTTGATGTGAGCATTTTGTGAATCTTTTTTAAAACTTTTCCTGAAGAGGGAGAAGATAATAATAATAGTAATTGGATTTATATAGCACCTTTTCAGAGGATACAAGGTGCTGTCCCTGAGTCCAGGGACTTGGGATACACAAGTCCCTGCTGAGTCTAAGGACAAATTAAGAATTGTAGAGATTTTCCCCCAATGTTTTTAGATACAAATTGCATGTTATTTCGTTTAATGTTGTAGGGTATTGAAGGACCTGAAGGACCATCTGGACCTCAAGGAGCTATGGGAGAACCTGGTCCTAGGGGAGAAGCTGGTCTTAAGGGAGAGAGAGGAGACCAGGGCATGGCTGGAATGCCTGGTTCCCCAGTCAACATCACCATGAGGGGACCACCAGGTCTCTCGGAGGAGAGTCATATCAACTGTACCTTTGTCATGAAAGGAGAACCAGGATCTCCTGGTCCTTCTGGTCCTAGGGGTGATAGAGGAGATCCTGGACTAGCTGGAACTCCTGGACTCAACGTGAGTATTAGAGTATTATATTTTGATCTATGTTATGTAAAGTGACTCTCACACTCTGCCGTGTAGGCCTACCGTGTGCCACCGTGCGCGAAAATGTCTGCGGACGGTGGAGAACGGCGAGGGCACACGGTGGTTCGTTATCAAAGCGGGCAACACGTTAATAGGGCGTTGGCGCTTATTTACACCCGGTGGGACCCGGCGAAAGTTTTGGGCATGTTCAAAACTTTGGCCGGCTGGCACCGGCCGCAAGTAAGCGGCAAGAGGACGGTGTTGAACGGTATGAGGACGGTATGAATACGTTATGAAAACGGTCACACTGTATGAACACGTTCATAACCCGTTACAGAACGGTGATGAAAAATGGAGAGCGGACTGACCGTTGCCGTTCAAATCGGGGTATTTATTGCAGTCATGTCATGACGTCAGCAGTCCGGGGACTCGCTCACAGGACGCTACGAGCGGTGAGGGGACGCTAAGTGACTGGTAGGTGGCTGCTACAAACCCGGTGCACACGTTCGAGACCCGGTATGGGCACGGAATGGAAACGGCCAAAATTTTCAACAAAAGTCAATATGGGCGGTGAAGACGGTAGAAGCACGTTCAACACCCGGTATGCGCCCGGTGAGAACGGTCAGAAGATGGCAACGAAACGGTGAAAAGATTAATTTTATGAATTTTTTTTTGCGGCTGGGGACAAGTTCGCTCAAAACCCAACGTTCTGGACTCTGTTTTTTTTTTAATAGCCCGGCAGGTGGACGGTAGGCCTACACGGCAGAGTGTGAGAGCTCCATAAGGAGTACCAGGAATTCCTTGTTCAGTTGGTCCTAAGGGAGATAGACCTGGATTAGCTTGAGCTCCTGGAATTAATGGGATTATCAAAAGAATATGTTTTGATCTTTTTCATCTGAATTAGCTAGAGCCAGTGAATAATATCAGTATTTGTGGATTTTTCACATATTCTTCTTTTTTAACATTTAAAATAATTTCTTTTTTGAAAGAAAAATGCTATTTTATGAAAATTCTGCTTTCATAATCAATTGAATACGTTGTCATAATGATCACACAGCTGTTCCATATGAAGATTAATCATAGGTGCATAGTGTTTAATACAAAGCATGAAATGTATTATATTGACCTTTCAAATACATGCTTGGTACATTAAGTAATATTTTATATACTATTTCATTTTTAAATAATTATATTATCTGACATTTATTTTATTTCAGGGATTTGATGGAATGAATGGGCAGAAAGGAGAACAAGGCCTGAATGGAACACATGGCATGCCAGTAAGAAACCACTACATAATTCAATCTTGACTCTTCCTCCGTCATTAACAACTTAAATAATCACCCTGTGGAAGGGTAAATAGAAAAGAAAAACAAATTTGAATGAAGGAAAAGCACTGTAAATTACTTGTGGGAGAGGGGGACACATTTGTAATAGGAGTATTTCCTATATTTTTAATGCAAGACAAATGTATTAGTTGCAATTTGTTAACATTTGGCTCAATAACACTGAATCAGAATGAAAAAAAAAATGCAAATAATTGAACAGCTTTATCTTATTGCATACATGAAGATTAGAAGAAACAAATCCTTAATATTGTGTTTATGCGTATGTGATATTGATTTAGAAAAGAACCTTCTCGTTTATCATGTTGAAAGCATTTATTGCTAAAAGGTCCAATTGTTTGATTTCAGGGTGTGACTGGTCCCCAAGGGCCTCCAGGTGAAACAGGTTTAATGGTAAGATATAAACCTGTTTATGATGGGATAGTGTAACCTGTATAGAGTGGTGAAGTGTGACGTCATCAAAAATCTATTTTTAGATTTTCTCAATTTTTTTTTTATTTTCCGAAAGAGCGTCAATAATAATGTCCAAATGTCGAAAACCAATTGAATAAGTATTGGTTGAGATATGACCATCTGAATAAATAGATTTTCTATAGGAACTCAGTGTTATTTTTCTCTAGTTCGTAATGTTATAACCTGTCTATAGTGGGAAAGTGGAACCTGTCTATAAAGACCACTGAGAATGGTGGTCTTTATAGACAGGTACAATGTATACTTGTTGGATGAAAAAGAAAAAAACATTCTATAGTGGTACAGTGAAACCTGTATATAAAAACCACTGAGAAAGGTGGCCTTTATGGGCAGGTATAATGGCTGGATTAAAAAAAAACCCCTCTCTATAATGCTTTAGTGAAACCTATATATAAAGACCGCTCAGTTGAAATAGGCAGCCTTTAAAGGCTGGTATAATGACTGGGTAAAAAAGATGAACAATTCTATAGTGGTCATAGTAAAACCTGTCTATAAAAGCTACTGAGAAAGGTGGTTTTTATAGGCAGGTAGCCTATAATGGTTGGATGAAAAAATAAAACCTGTCTGTATTAATACAGTGAAACCTGTATACAAAGACCATTCAAGTTGAGAAAGGTGGCCTCGGACACAGTGACATGATGCTAAGATGGGATGTTACATGTATTCCAAATATTTTCATGAAATATTATGTCACAAAGGAAAATACTACTTCTTCTAATAATAAGTTCTTCTATAGCACATTTCAGGACCATAGGCCCTCACAATGCACTTTAAATAGTGCAATTTACTATCAATGGTAACACTTATCATAAGATAAAGTTCTAATGGCTTTTTTGAAGACTTCAATGTCTGTAATGGAGCGTAGGGATAGTGGGAAAGCATTCCAGAGTTTGGACCTCCACATACCAGTGCTCTTTCGCCATACATGTAGGTCTTAGTTGCTTCAGGATTGATGGTGAGAAGGTGTTGTGAAGGTAATCATAGACATCTTGGAAAAGAAATATCTGATTTTAATATTTGACCTCTTTTCCCCATCTTCCGTTTCTTGTTTAGGGTCCTCAAAGCCCTCCTGGTCCTCCTGGCTTCAATGGCACTGATGTGAGTAAGATATTCAGTTACAGTGATAACAGACCAATGATAATGATAATCATAAGTTTTTTTGTATAGTGCATTACACATAGGCATAATTGCATGTCTCTATTTTAAGCATTTTACTGATCAGAATAAAGAAGGAGTAAAAATGGTTTACTGGGTTTAAAATTGTGGTATATCCAGATTAATCAACCGCTGAGTTAAACAGAGCTAACATTTGTAAATAGGTTCATGCTATGGACAGGATCACTTATAAAAGTAGTAGTTTAATGAAATAATGTTCATGATTTCATATAATGATGCTCTGGTACTCTCATATTTTCCTGCTGCTACCCCATTGCATACTGATTTCTCGAATTCCCATAAGGTTTATAGAGTGACCACATGCTTCCATTGCAAAGTTGAGGCATTCAAAATTCCTCTAGCTTATTTATTAATTCAATTGACCTTTTGCTTGATTTATGTATTTAAAATGAATTGGAATCAAGCATATCTTCTCCTCCTCTCAATTCTTAAATACCTTTGCAAATTTCAAATATACTCAGGGTAAACTTTAATAACTTAAGAACTGCCTTATATTTACTATATTATTTATAATAAAGGTATTTTAGCAAGATAGTGTGCCACTCCCCATGGAGTAAATGATCATTAATGTAATTCCATTGTATACTACATACAGGGTATGATGGGATTGCCAGGTATTCAAGGTGAGATGGGTCTTCAAGGACTTCCAGGTGAAAAGGTAAATACTCTATTCATTCATCGTGCAGGGTAAGGTAGAAGTCATGTTTAATTTTGTTCAATTGTTTGCCAGAGAGAGAGGCGACTTTAGAAACCATACTAGAGATCAAGATTGGTCAAGGCTTGGTCACTTCTTGTCCTTTTCCTTACATTTCTGGTAATCTTCAAATGGCTCTGTAGCCTATCATGAAAATGAACTAAAGATTACAAGTGGTATGAGGAAGATGTGAGATTTTTTTAGTTGGATAAGTGCATTACATGCCTCAGTTGTGATCGCTGGAAGTTTTCTGGACTGTCAACGTGCACAACTACTTAAATGTATATGTTTTTGCGTGCTGCTACTTTTTTCATTCCCACTTCTCATTTGATTAGTATGCACAAAAATATATCTGCCATGGTGAATAAAAAATGGAGAGTAATTTTTTGATAACTTTGATATTTCTGTTGCAAATTTGAAGAACTATATTTGATCAATTTAGCCCTAAAAATAAATCCTGTCTTGAAAGGGTTAAAAGCCGAGTTGATAATGGAATCGAGTTGGCCTCCTAACTGTATAAAATTATATACACTTGAAATATTGTATCAAACCATATTATGTTCATGAAAATGTATGATGAAAAAAAGAAAAAAGATGCAGAAACCAATAAATTAAATCAAATCAAATCAAATCAAATGCACTATGTAAGGGTTACATTGAATCTGATATTATACATGTACACATCTCATTTATGTTTATTTCACTTTACTGGAATTGTAAATCAAGATGTTTTTTTAAACAGATAAATGGCGCCATACAAATGCTGTTAATCATCATCATCATCATCATCATGATCCCCCTTTTTGTTTTTGTTTGTAGGGTGCTTCAGGAGAATATGGACCACAAGGACTAAAAGGAGAACCAGGTCTAGAGGGAGTACCGGGAGAAAGGGTAGGTCCTATTAGGAGACCAACTAGGAATTATCATGGTAGTTTTAATCACATTGATTTGTCAGTATTGTTACTTTGTTAAAAGATTATGTCTACGAGTGATATGTTTTGATAGAAATAATAAGTGGCCACAGTATTCACATCATCATCATCATCATCATCATCATCATCATCATCATCATCATCACCATCATCATCATCATCATCATCATCATCATCACCATCATCATCATCATCATCATCGTCATCGTCGTCGTCGTCGCAGCCGCCGCCGCCGCCGCCGTCATCATCGTCATCATCATCATTGTCATAATCATCATCCTGATCATCATGATTATAATCATTATTTTGTTAATGATAATATTATATTTGTATAGGTGTATTGGAAATATACATTTTGTATGACTTTGAAGAGTGAGAGAGATCGCAATGTAACAAGTGAGAAAGAAAAGAGAGTGAGAGAGAGAGAAAGGGAAAGGGAGAGAGAGAGAGAGATAGAGATAGAGTAGGCTATTCACAAGAGCTACATGTTTGCCATATGTTGGATATTTTCTGAATGTAAGTCCTTTCCCAAGATGTTTAAATCTTCTTTGATTATTTGTCTTCACAGGGCTTACCTGGAGATAGAGCTGAAAAAGGTGAAATTGGATTACAGGTACGCACCCATTTACTTTTCATTCTTTTTAATACAAGTAAAACCAAAAGGTGACAATTAATGTTCTTATATTCTTTTGAATTATTACTACCAGTAATATGTATAAATCAGTGTATAGATGTGGCTGTTGGAAATGATTAACAGGCTTTAAGGCTAGTCTTCTGAGTCTGTTCTTTTCTTGTAGAAATCTCTGTCTGGTTTCTTGTAGCTAATCCAATTCAGATAAATTGTAACATTATTCTGCAACAACATAAAAGACATCAATTAGTAAATTGTCTGCTGCTTGTATAGCGCATATCACATTTTAACGTCTCTATACGCTTCCAAAGAGCTTTTGAAATTATTACTCCGGTTTTAACATGGCTGCCATTACAGCGCTCTAGCATTTCAAAGAATTAGTTCCTGCTAGGTACCCATTTACATCACCTGGGTCGAGTGTGGCAAATGTAGATTAATGTCTTGCCAAAGGACAGTATAGTACTGTGGCGGAACTCAAACCGATTCATAGTCTGGTGATATATCTGCTCGACCACGACACCTCCATATCATATATAGCAACTCTTTGAAATAGAATTAACGCCCTTCTCACTCCAAACAGACAAAAGGTGCTCAGTCAGAAGACCGTCATTGAGAGCATATGTTTTCATTGAGAAATATTCCAATTTCCATGTAATAATTAAATGCACTTCATTAAGATATCATCAGATCAAAGCCAGAAGGGCATTAACTCCTATAATACTTCTACACAGACTTAACACCTTCAGGCACTCAACAGCTAGTTAATACATTCACATGTTCTTTTGATCCAGGGCGTCCAAGGACCGGAGGGTTATAAGGGAGAGGTGGGTCCTGCAGGAGCTATAGGATTACCAGGGAGCCCAGGAGCTCAAGGGGATCCAGGGATTAACACCTTTAAGCACTCATTAGTTAATACATTCCCATCTTCTTTTAATCCAGGGCGTCCAAGGACCGGAGGGTTATAAGGGAGAGGTGGGTCCTGCAGGAGCTATAGGATTACCAGGGAGCCCAGGAGCTCAAGGTATCCAGGGATTAACACCGTTAAGCACTCATTAGTTCATACATAACCATGTTCTTTTGATACAGGGCGTCCAAGGACCAGAGGGTTATAAGGGAGAGGTGGGTCCTGCAGGAGCTATAGGATTACCAGGGAGCCCAGGAGCTCAAGGGATCCAGGGATTAACACCTTTAAGCACTCATTAGTTCATACATAACCATGTTCTTTTGATACAGGGCGTCCAAGGACCGGAGGGTTATAAGGGTGAGGTGGGTCCTGCAGGAGCTATTGGATTACCAGGGAGCCCAGGAGCTCAAGGGGATCCAGGGATTAACACCTTTAAGCACTCAACTGTTAATGTATTCACATCTTCTTTTGATACAGGGCGTCCAAGGACCAGAGGGTTCTAAGGGAGAGGTGGGTCCTGCAGGAGCTATTGGATTACCAGGGAGCCCGGGAGCACAAGGGATCCAGGGGATGAAAGGAGACAAGGGCGAGTATGGAGATCAAGGAATCCAGGGATTAAGTATTAAAGGAGACAGAGGAGATATGGGATTAGCAGGAGTAGCCGGTACGAAGGTAAGATTAATTACGACATTTGTCTTGTTTGGTTAATGTCTTGAGAAATGTATTTACGCCAGAACACATCATTTCTATTGTCAAGTTTTTTGTGTACTGAACAAACGGAACAATGATATAACTTGTGTCTCTGTCTCTCATTCGTATGTTTACATGGAAATGTATTTATTAACACTATCATTTACTGTTCTAATGGCTAATGGTATAGTACATCACTATTTTAACTTATTCAACATGCTTTTAATATAGTCTTCTTAATACCCCGATAAATCTCTTTCCCCTCGTGTGATATCTAATTTGTACACACATTGCTGATGATAGATGTTTGTTTTATAATTGTCATAATATTATGGTGACGGTGATAGTAAGGTTAACAATATTTTTAATAGATATGATAGTAATACCTCTATATGGTTATAATGTTCATATTGATGATGAGTATGTCAATGATGATGATTATTATACTGATGGTTTTGATAATCATGACAATGAGATTTTTACGACCCTTGATCGAACAACAATTTTTTCACTCAAAACTTCTGAAACGACACCCAGCACTACACCTAATCCTAACCATACCACCTAAAATCCTGATGTACCAAAACACATAATCTTATATACCTAACAAATTAAAGCCCAAAGCAGAATTCAGATCATTAGTACCGGTAATGAAAGTGGTGATGAGTATGATGTTGCTAATGATGGCATTGATGATGAAATGATATGGGTGAAAACGCATCCGGACACCTACCCCCTGGACAACCACCCCCAATCAACTACTCCCTAGGACAACTCCCCCCGGACAACTACCCGCTAGTATAGTTGTCCGGGGGGAGGTGTCCTAGTAGTATGGGGGTGAATGTCCATAGGGTAGGTGTCCTAGAACTGGGTAAAAAAAAATTAAGATCAATGGGAATGACGAAGGTGGTGAAGATGATAATGATGGCATTGATGATGCTTGAATAAGATTGGGTGATTTGGTTTATTAACAGGGGCATAAAGGAGAAGAAGGTAGCTTTGGCAAACCTGGAAAGAAAGGGGAGCCAGGAGCAGGGGTATGTCTAATTATTTCCCCCTTTTCATTATAATATTGAGTGCTTTATGCTTGAAGAGATTAATTCCAAAAGCAGCTAAATCCATTTTGTAACTTGAGAGAAAAAACAAATTGTTTACCAGATTTTGTACAGGCATCTATGGCAAAGTGATGTTAGAAGGTGCATTTTTTCATAATTGCTCCAAAAATTTAGGTAAATACTTTTGTTGAAAGACGGGTACTGAAGTAAACAATGTTCTGATATCAATAACTAAATTTTCATCAAAAGTGGATTTAGCTCCTTTTGGAATTAAACTCTTCATTTTCATACTATTCGAAAGTTTGATGAACCCCTATAGTTTGCCAAAATGGATATTCCAAAATTATTATTACACAATTTTTAATATGATTTAACTTGAAGTCTGTAAATAAATTGGTTTTATAACAATAGATTTATGATTCTATATTTGAAAAGGGTAAAGCATGAACGTTACCTGGGAAATTTCTTTATTTGTAATATTTTGTTGCAAAGTGGAATAACTGCTTTAGACTTGTTGAAGGATTAGCTGACAAAGTAATACCTGAGAAGGCTGGGATGCATTGATGTTAAAACAGAATTGAGGTTGTTGTTTGTGCAAGGCTAAAAACAAACAAGCAAACAACAACAATTATGGAAAGATATTATTCCATTACATTTAACATTATGTAACAAAAACAAAACTTAACTGGTAGTTCTCTTACTTTTTAAACTTCTTGTTCTCTTAACATCCGAATTGATATGAAAACTAATATCTTTTTTAGATCTTAATTTATTCTCTTTCAACTCTCATTCTCTTTTTCCTCTAACGTCTATGTCTGTTCTACAGTCACCTGGTGCACCGGTTAGTATGGTTTACTTACAAAATCTTCAAAGTAATAATTTTGTCTCTTTACAACTATATTGTTGGTGATATTCATTGATCCATTTAAACTTAAAGTTATCACAAATTGGTGGAGTTACCTCATATTTACACATCAAATACTTTGAAAATATATTCAAAGAGCAGATAAACATTTATCTTATTAGAAGGGTTATTCAATTTAGTTATTCACACTTCAACCTTATTGATTAGAATTGCCATATACATTATTTGGTTTCTTTTGAATTCAGTTTTAAACCCCTCTAAGGTGTGTTGGGAAATTTAATGTCAAAATGTATCATAATGTGAAAGAGAATGTCATTTAAGATACACTTCTGCAAAGATTTACCCCCCAAAAATGTGTTTAAAGACAAATACTGATAAAGGCTACATAATTTGGGTTTCTTTTGTATGCAGAAAACAATTTTTTTTTAAAAATTCTTTCATCAATATTCGACTTCAAACACATTTACCGGGTAAAAATATTTGCAGAATTGTGTCTTAAATGACATCCTTTTTCACATTATGATACAATTTACACTTTAGAGGGGGCTTTAAACTTTCAGGGGGTTAAATTGATCATATATTGTTCTTCATAAATGTTATAAGAAGATAATAGCCTACATGCAGCTCCAAAGGTGACTTTTGATTGATGTAATTGTTACCTTTTTTGGTCTAATTGAATATTCATAAAGTTTTGATAATAAATTGTTTTGATGCAGGGATTAAAAGGAGAACCTGGAGACCTTGGTATGAAAGGAGAAATCGGAAATCCAGGCAGAAATGTGAGTTGATCATGGGTTTGGTTTGTTTGTCTGTTTGTTGGGTTTTTGTCCTAATTTGCATAAATTATGTGGGAAGAATGGCCTGTGGGCCATGGACATTAAGTTGACCTGTTCCTTTCCCAGGCCACCTGGTCAGGTGTGCAAGTGTCAAATTATTTTATTCATTCACTATGTACATTGTATATTTGTTCCTGATTTTGTTTCTTTGGAAAATGCCAAATAAATAATAATAATAAAAGGTTTGAGTACATGAAATAGAAGTTGTATTTCTCAGTTAACAGAACATTCTCAGCTATGAAAGAATGCCATTGTATGTCTGTTTGATATCTTTCAGGGTTTACAAAGCTCTTTGGAAGCACAAAGGGATGTTATATAATGTGATATGCGATATACAAGAACTGAATATTATTATTATTATTATGGTTTTATAGCAGACAGGGACTTGAACCATGCTCCTTGTGATCTACCGTCTAATGAAATTGTTTATTTCATTTGATATTTTTCAGGGTTTACATGGTTTAGCAGGTCCAACTGGGGCACCTGGTCCTCAAGGAAGATATGTAAGTTAGATCGCCCGCTCATCAGTCGCTCTCACATCAATCAATCTTTTATTTATTTATTTCATTTTCATAAAAATACAGTCAAAGCAAATAAGCATGCATACAACAAAACAATGACAAATCAGAGTAATCGATATCATGGGGAACATGTTTTAATAAATGTGTCACTTTACCACTTATATAAAATGAAAAAGGAGAAATTTGATAAAGCCTATGATGGCTTTGTGAGACAAAGCTCCAAATGAAATATACAATTAAATATTATGGAGCATAGATTATACATCACAAGGATACAAACAAATACAACAAAATTGAGTAACTTATTGTGGAAAAGAGGGATTCAGAAGATGAAAGATGGGGTGGATTTTTCAATGGTATACATGGTTAAGCAGGTCAATATATATACCAAGTAAATTATGATCAATATACAAGATCACAAAGCATTTCCTTTCTAGTGCAGTTTTAAACCTTCTGAGCTACATGTACCATGTTGTTCCGACAATTGAATTGAATTTAAAGAATGAAATGTTGATCTAAAATGTTTTGTTTCATTGGTAGATTTAGTGCATTTTCCCTGGATACAAAGCTCATTTTTGCCTTGTATTTCATGGTTGTATATAAACTGCTTTACATATTCACTTAATGAAATTGAAAGTCTGTTGTCTAAAATTGCTAATTCCATTGAATTAAAATGTTTTTATTCTTTATTCCGGTTTGTATCTTTTTTCCTTTGTACCAGGGTGTTGCAGGGACGAAAGGAAGTAGAGGAGATATGGTATGTATTAGGATATTCATCATGTCATATTGTCCTTTTTCATGAGCTTCAGCCTATAAGACTGACAATGTCCATCTCATGTCTCCTGACACTAACAGTTCTCAGGGTGACATCAGATTGATATTTGTCCGTCTCGTGAGCTTATAGCCTATTTACATGACGTTCCTTGTTCATGTACCATTATATCATTCCTTCTTTTCAAATTAAACTGATTTGTTTTTGTTTTTTGGTGAGAATATATGGTGGCCCTGAAGGGACATCGCGAATAGACTAAATCGTGAAAAATATGCGATAAAATTCACGATATCGTCAATTTTATCGCATATTTTTCACGAAGAAATTCACGAAATTGACGATATCGTGAACTTTATCGTGAACTTTTCACGATGAAATTGACGATATCGTGAATTTTATCGTGAAAAGTTCACGATATAAAGTTCACGATATCGTCAATTTTATCGTGTACTCTATCGTGTACTCTCCTGACGGGCGCTTCGTAAACAAAACCAGCCCTAGCTGGGGGAGACAGAGAGAAGGAAAAAAGGGAAAGGGAAAGAGAAGATAAAAGGAAAGAAAGAATAATAAGAAGAAAAGAGGGAAACGGGGGGGGGGGGGGGGGGGGGGCGAAGGGCTCTTGCCTCCTCCTCACTCCCCCCCCCGCCAAAAAATAAATAAGGAGAGAGAGAAGGGAAAGGGAAAGGGAAAGAAAATATAAAAGGAAAGAAAGAAGAGGAAGAAGGAAAGAGGGAAACGGGGGAAGGGCGAAAGGCTCTTACCTCCCCCCCCCCCCCCGCCAAAAAAATAAATAAGAGAGAGAGAGAGAAGGGAAAGGGAAAGAAAGAAGAGGAATAAGAGGGAAACAGGGGAAGGGCGAAGGGCTCTTGCCTCCTCCCCCCCCGCCAAAAATAAATAAGAGAGAGAAGGGAAAGGGAAAGAAAATATAAAAGGAAAGAAAGAAGAGGAATAAGAAGGAAAGAGGGAAACGGGGGAAGGGCGAAGGGCTCTTGCCTCCTCCCTCCCCACCCCCCGCCAAAAAAATAAATAAGAGATAGAGAGAGAAGGGAAAGGGAAAGGGAAAGAGAAGATAAAAGGAAAGAAAGAAGAGGAAGAAGAAGAAGAAAAGAGGGAAACGGGGGCGAAGGGCTCTTGCATCCCCCCGCCCAAAAAATAAATAAGAGAGAGAGAGAGAGAGAAGGGAAAGGGAAAGAGAATAAAAAAGGAAAGGAAGAAGAATAAGAAGAAAAGAGGGGCTCTTGCCTCCTCCCCCCTCCCGCGCCAACAAATAAATAGGAGAGAGAGAGAGAGATAGAGAGAAGGGAAAGGGAAAGGGAAAGAAAATATAAAAGGAAAGAAAGAAGAAGAAGACGGAAAAAGGGAAACGGGGGAAGGGCGAAAGGCTCTTACCCCCCCCTCCCCCCTCCCGCCATAAAGGGAAAGAGAAGGGAGAGGGAAAGAAAATATAAAAGGAAAGAAAGAAGAGGAAAAAGAATAAGAAAAGAGGGAAACAGGGGCGAAGGGCTCTTGCCTCCTTTCTTTTCTTTCTTTTCCTTTCTTTCCTATTCTCCCTCTTTTTTGTTTTTCTCTTTCTTTCTTCTCTTTCCCTTTCCTTCTCTCTCTCTCTCTTATTTATTTTTTGGCGGGGGGCGGGGGGACGAGGCAAAAGCCCTTTGCCCCCGTTTCCCTCTTTTTTTCTTCTTCCTCTTCTTTCTTTCCTTTTATCTTCTCTTTCCCTTTCCCTTTCCCTTCTCTCTCTCTCTCTCTCTGATTTATTTTTTGGCGGGGAGGGGGGGGGGGAGTGAGGAGGAGGCAAGAGCCCTTCGCCCCCCCCCCATTTCCCTCTTTTCTTCTTATTATTCTTTCTTTCCTTTTATCTTCTCTTTCCCTTTCCCTTTTTTCCTTCTCTCTGTCTCCCCCAGCTAGGGCTGGTTTTGTTTACGAAGCGCCCGTCAGGAGAGTACACGATAGAGTACACGATAGAGTACACGATAAAATTGACGATATCGTGAACTTTACACGATAAAATTCACGATATCGTCAATTTCATCGTGAAAAGTTCACGATAAAGTTCACGATAAGTTCACGATATCGTCAATTTCGTGAATTTCTTCATGAAAAATATGTGATAAAATTGACGATATCGTGAATTTTATCGCATATTTTTCACGATTTAGTCTATTCGCGATGTCCCTTCAGGGCCACCATAAGAATATCTTTTGCTCTCATATGTGATCTCCTAAATAGCAAAGTGGCCTAAACTAGGCTTAAACTGTCTAAAAATATTGTGAAAAAATGTTATTAATGTAGTGGGCTTCCATGTTTCTGTGTAAGTAAGTATTCAAGGATATTACCATCGTTCCACACATGTAATTTTGTGTCTCCTCCTCTGCCCAATCATGCACTTTAACCCATTCAGGACAGACTTTACTTTTGGTGTTTAATTGATCACATATCATTCTTTAAATTGGCAACAATAATATATTTGTCCTTTATATATTGCTACATTGCTAAAATAAAATGTAATGTCTCCGAAAACAATGTTTATCTAGAATGTTATCAAAAAGTTGAATAAATGGAATACTGTATCCCAAAGAATGATGACTTTTAAAGCTTATTTTCCTTTTTAAAATTCCTGGCTTCATACGCAATATAGTCATGAAAAAAAAATGGATGCAGGTGAGTGCAGAATTGTCTGCCCTTTGTACTTGTGTATCTGGCAATTTTTTAGGGCTTCGAAACACAAATTATTGAGGCAAACTACAAAATATGCTGGATTGATTGTTACGAAAGGGTTAAGAAGATTTTTTCAATTGTACTGTATTTTTTCATAGATGGTTTACAGTGTCATGTCTGAATAAGTTGTAAATTAAGTTTTTTATTTCTTTTGTTATATTTTTACAGGGTTTACCTGGGCCTCAAGGTTATAAAGTAAGTTTTGGTTCAGTCCGTTTGTGAGGATTTAAGATTATTTCTGTCAAATTGATTGTCGTTACCTTAAAGCATAAAAGCAATTTTCAGTTGAGTACCAAGCCAAGGAGCATTAGAGTGTATCAAAAGTAATTAGTCTACAGTTAGCATATATCAAATTAACCTAAAAAAAAGCTTTACCTTTCCATGGATGGGCTAGCGGTTAATAAATATGAAGAAAACAAAGGAAAACATAAAACAAAACCCAAGAATGACTTGGGTTCCGTGCAAGCTCTTATTCCATATGTTCAGGTACATGTGCATTACTAGCCTACTACCATACTCACAAGTTGCTTGTATGTAAATTGAGGGTGTATAGAGATCTACATTTACCACATCACATTTTAGTATTTAGTATTTGAAGCTGATATTTTGAGTGTATTATATGGAACCCCTAACATTCAGAATAAATTAGTTTTCAGTGATTGACTTTATATCTGTGTAAGGGGTCAGAATAGATTTCCTAATAATTTTAAAACAACAAATAGAATTGTTCAAGAAACTGCATGTTCACTACTAATGAAGATTGAAGGTTGTTTAAAAATTTGTTTGTATAGGTTCATAGAATATATTCATATTTCAGTACAAGTTTTGTTTATGTAGCTTGTAAAACCCTCATCAGTTTGTATCACTGTGATATTTCTCCCTTTTTTTGATCTTTGTAGGGAAGTCCTGGTGATTATGGCCCAAATGGTGAAAGAGGAATAAAGGTAAGGACTTTCATGGAATATTTTCACTTAATTATTATTTTACGAACTTTACTGTCCATTTGGTGATGCCTGATTTTAATTGTTATTTGTTTTATAATCTCTTGTATTAAAAAACTTTACTGTCCATTTGGTGATAATTGAAATGAATAATTTTTGTGTACAATATGAGAAATCATAGATCGAATATCACATTTTCTAGTATTTTCAAAAATCTCCACAAACTTTGGTCACCCCATCATACCATTCCTTTTCTAAAACAAACCTTATAAATCTTGCCTTTATTTCTCATCATAAACCTTCTTCCAGCTAAAGCACTAGGAGACTAAATTCCCCCATTTTTAACGTTATAAAAGTTCTCATTCATCCTTCTAAATGTTTTGATATTTTTGTTTGTAGGGAGACCAAGGAAGGCAGGGTAAGAGAGGGAAACGAGGACCCAAAGGCTTACCGGGAGCACCAGGGTTAGATGCACCTTGCCCTGTGGTAAGTACAACTCATCTTTAACCCCTTCTATGTCAGGGGCAACAAATCCTGCCCACGATGAGTGCTGAAAATTTTGTTGGACTGAGATTTGGACTGAGATTTGGACTGAGATTGGCTACATTTTAGATACCGGTATTAATAATTACATAGCAATATTTCTTATGCACTCATATCCATCTCCAGGATATGATCTGTTTGCATAAAGATACATCGTTATAACAAATAGTTTAGAAAACTACATAAGGTAAACTCCATAAATATAATATTGAATGGATGAAAAAAGAAAATTATGGAAACCGAAATACTGTCTTGTGAGAAAGGTATTCAAGTGTCTTTTGAATGATTTTAGAGTAGGTCAAGATTTGGATAAACAGTGGGAGGGGAGTTCAAAAGTCAGGGTGTAGTAAGACCTTAGACAAGACACAAACAAGGTTCCTTCATAGCACGGTGTATTCCCATGCAGAAAATTGAGTGTTCAAAAATAAAATCAGATGTGATACACTGTCTTTATACAGGAGTTAAGGGAGGGGGGAGGGGGGTAAAATGTTTCAGAATGTATTGTAAGTGTGCATTCTCTACATATTAAAAGTATATAAGAATAAAAGCTTCGCGTTTTAAGATGATTGAAATAACACTTGTTCTTTCTTCACCCCCCCCCCCCCTGTCTTCTTGCAGGGTTCTGATGGCTTACCCCTCCCTGGATGCTTCCCTGCTGCATAGCCTCAAGGTTAGTACAGTCAAACCTGCTTTAGTGACCACCTCTCTACAAAGACCAATTTGTTTCCCTTGAAAATGGTTTCTCATTGAAACATGTACTAAAGGAACCTGTACATAAAGACCACCTGCCTATAAAGACCACTTGTCTCTCTTGGGAGGTCTTTATAGACTAGTCTCACTGTACCAACAACAAAGGTGAATAGTAGAGTGGTATCCAACAAAATATGAGAAAAAATGAGGGTTTGCAGCCAAAATCATGTTTGCTTTTTATGGTTTTAGTACACCATTGCACATGAAGTTGAAATAAATATTTACCTCTTTTCATGAAATTATTGTGATGATACGATTTATTCTTTATAGACAAAGTATATATTTCCTTGTGATTTTACTGATCATACCTTACTGATCACTTTAATTGATCAATAAAGCTTTGAGAAGACGTACATTTTTATCTACCAGGAATAAATCATGTTGTTAAAATTATTTTATGATAATATGTTACAAAAGTTTATTTCAACTTTTTGGGAAACAGTATAAGATTGTATCATTCCTCTCTGAAAGCAAGTCATGATATATATTACCAGTGATTGCTAATAAATATACACTTTACATTTCCTTTATTTCTTTCAAATAAAAATATTTGTTATGATGGTTGTGAGGAAAATTAGGTATGTCTTCAATATCAAGAATAGACTAAAAACATACAAATAATATTTTACAGGAGTAAGGTCACAACAATGATTGTAAAAGGATGATATTTTGATACACATTATGAAGCCCTGCATAATCTACATGTATAGGATCCGCATGTATTCCACAACACCATCATTTTATATGTAATTCTTCTTTTTGCTCCCAAAGCATTATCATGATGGGGTCGTCAGAGGTCAAAGGTCATCATGTCATCACCAACCTCCAACCAGAGCTGAATCCTCCTGAATTCTACCAAAAAAGGTTTGGTGTGAAAACTATCAATATCGCATCAAAGAAGAATTGAATGACGCCATCTTCTACACAATTTGGATGTGAATAAATCTGCTTCTTCAGGTTTTTAAGACCAAACATGTTCATGATTCATTCGTAGGTGTGTGCAGGAGATAAAGGGAGAAAAGATGATATGATTATAAGCCTGGCTGAAATATAATTCTTGTTGGTTGCCAAAATAGTTCCCTTAATAAAGAATGAATAATTTCTCATTATCTTTCTAACAATTTTGACAACATACTCGATTAATACTCGATTCTGATATTAGTGACAAGATCTTAAATTTGAGTTGAAGACTCTCTGTGTTGGCATTTATAAAATCAACTTTGTGATTTTGAGGGGAAAAAAACTTGTTCAGGAGTAATGTGTATCAACAATTGTTGCAACCAACAAGAAACCATATATTTCTTTGGGAGTTTGTATTATAGAGAATATATTATTCATTGAATAAGTACTAAAGAGGAATGATTTTGAAATGTCCTGTATATATTGTACAGCTGTTGTTTATAACCAAGCAACAACAAATATTGAGACATCTAAAAATATTACTTTTTTATCGAGTCTCACTGAAAATGTATTCCAAATTTTATTCGAGGTGAAGTGAGTTTCATTCTGGTATTTTAATGTAAATTATATGAGACCAGTGAATGCCTGCCGTGTATAGGTTTACATGTACATGTATATGTCGTATATTGTGAATATTCATTTGTATGCTTCCTTCCTATTTAGGCTGATTAAATGTATATGCTACTTTGAAATCGCTTTCCTTCAAAGGATTTGAGATAAATGACAGAAAGGAGATCCTTGATTTAGTACTTTTAAGTTGATATTGGCTGAGCGTATATATTTTGTTTCAATTCCTTAGTATACTTTGTGCTGGATATACAGGCTTGTAATTTACCAAAGATGTTCATGACTTATCAGATTCTTAAAGTATTAAATGGTCACAAGCTTTGTCAAAACCATGAACCTTGTATCTTCTGTCGTTATGCCCATTTAATATTTGTAATATTACTGTTATTTTGGTAAGGAAATTTTTTTGGTACCTTACATCACAAAGAAATTGATATTGTTGGTTCTAGAAAGAAGATAAATTTTTTTTATACATGTACTCAGAGGAGTAAAGAGCACATTCAGTGCAGAGTCATTGAAAAAAAAATTTATCAGATTTTCCCTATAGATGTAGTCAATTATTTTGAGTTATTATTCCGAGTATCATCTAACTTTCTTGGAAGAAGGCACAATGTCTCAATGGAGTATTTTTTTAGTGATTTGTTCATACTTTTGTTTCAAATATTATGTAGATGATAGCCTTCAAATTACGTTTGACATTTGCTATATGTAGTATTGAATGTGTACATATTGCTTTAAACTTGTATATTCTAACAAAAACTTGTATAGATCTTTCTTATTTATTCACTCTAAGATTTTATGTTTATGTGTGAGGTACTCCTTTTGATATCCTTTCTCTTTTATTTAAAAAAAAAATTACTTTAATTCAAAGAAAAAAATAATGGATTACTTGACTGAAAACTCATAGTGAGAAATATCAATGATGAACAGTTATAATATAGATGCAAGACCCTCCAAATTTTATTTGAATTGGACAGATTTCACTAGCATTTTCCTTTGTAAACAGTATTTCTTTTGACATTAACCGAAAAACACTATATAAGGTAGTTATGCAATGAAATTAACAAAGTCAACATGTAGTCATTATTTTATCTTATATAATGCTTCAAATTGTATTGTGAAAAAAAGCTATGAATATCATGTACACGTAGCTTATATTTCACAATAACTTTTGTAATGTTTTGTTTTAATTACTATTTCCCAGACATGTATTTTCTTAATATTGAAATGTTTAATATTGTGTAAATAATGAACTGATAGGGACAATGCCTTTATATTATACTTGCCAAGTTTCTATAGGGTTTTCAGCTTTGTAAAAAAAAAAAACCCCTCAAACGTCAGATTGCAGTATTTTAAGTGTAGATGCATATATATAAGCCTATGTAAATGTATTTTCCATGAATTGTTATTGTAATATATTGCCATTTATAACTGCCGTCATGGAGGTAATTGAAGGCATTGCTTCTTAATGTGTATCACTTTTGCTAGGCTGATTCCAGTGATAGCTGTTAATGTAGGCTATTTAAATCACCCTAGATGCGATATTTTTTAGTCTGCGGTCTTGTTCATGTTAGATATTCAATAATATATACATTGTATTTTCTACTGTAAAGTTTCACTATCCAGTTTTAAGTATTAAAAGTTTTTACTTTGATCATCAACGTAGATAATCATTTTTTGAGATGTTCTTGCTTCCTTTCATAAACTAACCATTTTCCTATTTATTTGTAAATAATATTTTCGAAAATAAGTTGAGAAATGTAGGGAAAGAGAAACTAATTTCTGTAAAGAGATAGTAGTGGAACATTGCCTTGACAAAAACAGTAAATATGTTAGAGTTGTCGGTGTCAGAGATTAAGTTTGATAAATAAATCATGAAATATTGCAACTTTGTAGTTCTAACTGAAGAGAAAGATACTCTATGAATAGTAAATTTTTGTAATATTTGCTTATTTAGGCCTCTCTCAGATATGACGTGGCAAAACCAGTGTTTTTTTTTAATGATGTAAAAAGTAATACCCTCCATATTTCTATATCTTATTAAACACAGAGCTAAGTGAACACTTGCAAGTCCGTCGTCACATGCAGTTGCCAATCATTTACACTTTAAATTATTAAAAAACACCTTTTTTCTGTGGTTTACCGTGTCATATCTGGAAGAGTCTTTAAACTCACTTCAAGTTTTTTTGGATGCCAAAACCCTGGTCATTTTCACAGCAAATCTTGCTCACTATTTGAAATCAACAAGTAAGAAGGTTAAAATATTTGGTCCGCTAATTAACCTAAAGCATAAGATGAGTAACTTCACGAACCACAGAACTTGGGTATTTCTACTCTCCTTCTTCCGTTATTCAAAATGCAAAGAAAATTTTTAATATAGAAATTTGATTTGACCCCTTCTGACCCTTAGCAAATTACTATCATATGACAATTCAACGCTTATTATATATTTCAGTAAATTTCTGACCATGTAATTGTAAACCCAAGATACATTTCTGTCTACTGCATCATATAGGCCTGTGTATGTAATATTGTATGGCTACTAAAAAGAGTACAATCAAATCATAGTTATTCGTTGGAATAATTGACCTTGGAGATAGAATGAATATGCTTTCAACAAGCATTAAACAAAAATACTGTGTATTTTTCCAATGCTTCTCAAATAATTTATTGGGAAGTCCATTACCAAACAATTTCAAGTTTTTTATTTTTTCGTTAAGGTGTGAAGTGACCTGACCAAACTATATCATCATTATGACCCTCAAGAAATTATGGATCATGTATGAAAAATTGTGTACGTTTTAACTCTGATATGTGGTCAACTGTTGAAGATTTTATCATGAAGAATTGTCAATCATTGGTCAACTGAAAGGATTGTGATGAAAATAAATATTGTATCATTATTGTATAACAAATCAACATTATCAGTGTTTTCCTGCTGTATTTTTTTATTTATGGTTTGTGACATTGTCGCCTCATCAGCTCTGGAATGTTCTTTTGTGTTTTGATTTTCAGTTCAGTCATTTCTGCAAGTCCTTTTCCATTTGAACAAAGAAATCAACACAAAACAATCTTTTAAATTTGAAGAGGTGTTTTGCGAAGTGGCTTTAAAGGTAATGCAAAGTTTTGGAAAATTTTGAAAATTGGATGGATAATAATTCTTTACAATTTTGATGCATTTGGATGCTCTTGTGAATGTATTATAAGCACTAGAAAATTTAGCCCCTAAAACACTTCTGCTTTTGAGTAATTGAATGATCAAATATTTACTGGTGCTCCCGGTAAATTTCAAGTATTTCAAATAGCACCCAAGGCGATTCCATGGTAGCTGCGACCATGACAATCTCAGAATATGTAGTTCTAATATGTAATTTTCAAACGGGAATAGCAAATCGGTCGATCGTGGTCTAGAAACATTGTTTTAACGTTAAAGTAATATCAGTTTTGAGAGGGCGCTTTACAACATAAAGAGTTTAATATTCACAATTTCATCACTCAATTTCAATGTTATAAAATTGCATATGCTTCCAATATGTTCATTTGAACCAAGTTCATGACCCCATACCAAAACTTTGTGTTACCTTTAACTTGGCTTTGGGGGAAATTATTTATTATTAATGTGACATTCAGGAATGCAGACAAACAGGAGCCTTGGTATATTGTATAAAGAATAGAAATGTGTGAGAGTCTACAGCAAATAACAAATCACAATAAACAAAGTTCTTTTTCAGTTTGGAAAGTTTTATTTTTCTTGAAAGAAAGACTGAGATGGATTCATGTACACGTGAATAGGCATCAAACAAAACAAAGTAAAAAAAACAAAACTTTAAGATCCTGTCCATAATAATTGCATTTGTGTCATTTTGTAACTATCCTCTACAATTGATATCCTTCAAATTGTCTCAAATCACTCAAATTGCCAGAAATATATGTCTTACAACTGAACTAATTAGAGTCTTATATAGCCATTCGGTAATGAAATAACTTGCTCATATCAAAATACAAACAATTCTGTTATTTACAAGATATAATACAATCATTAATGTGCAGCGTCAGGCCTGGTAATTTTGACTGCACTTTTTGAATATCACTTTCAATATGAAAGTACATCAATAAATTGTATACAATTCAAATATTTCACATTACATCAATGCCCAATGAAATCAACATGTCAAATATTTGCCAAATGCTGTAGTACTTTCTCTGAATTTGATGTGCATATACGTTTACTAGTTCACATTTGTAAAATTCTATGGCAAGAAAATTCATAGGGCAAGAGACTTTTTTACATAAATTTTCTTCTAATATTGTGAAAAATTATTTTATTATTGCCTTTTCTCACGTTAGCACAATTTGAGGAAATGTGAGGAATTTAGAAATGACATGAATTAAATCAAACATCCGTACTAGTGTCCTACTTCAGACCTGTACGGATAAAAAAAAAACCTGGCCTACCACAATGTCTGTAAAGAATACAAAATCACATAAAATCTGTTTCAGCCAAACATACAGTGCAATAGAAAAAGTCTTTTGAAAATATACTTGTACCAATATTTAATGCTGATACTGGCCATCTGGATGGCTGAATTTTAACAATTAAAACAGATGTATACCATGTACACCAACAAAGGAATAAAGTGTACAATACATTTCAAAAATATCATTTATAGAATACATGTATATAGATGGAAGAATAAATTCATTAATAATGGAATAAGTTCATCAATAATGGAATACATAGATCAATAATGGAATAAATAGATCAATAATGGAATAAATAGATCAATAATGGAATAAATAGATCAATAATGGAATAAATAGATCAATAAATGGATACCTATTGCTAGTGGTATTATGATAAAATAGATGGATATTTATTTTAAAAAAAAGGAATAAAGCATACAATAAACAAAGAAATGATTAATAACTCTATCTATAGAATAATTCTTGCCTCCTAAAAAAAATGAATGAAGTTTTGTCATACAATGTAGTTGGTATTTGCACAAATCTCATTTCAAACATCAAACCATTTTTAGCCAGCACATCAAAGCTTGTTTCATCAACATTAAATGCTGTAAATTGTGGATATTAATAAACTCAAATCAGTACTGAGATATAGTTTATAGTTAAATGTTTACATGTATACATGTAGAATATCAACAACACTAAATACATGATGAAAACCATGAAAATCAACCAACAAAATACACATTATCTTATAGCTCTAAATTGCTAAAAATTCAGAAGCATTTGGAAGACTTCATGCATTAGAATGCTAAAATAAACGGTAGTTGTGTATATTAACTACTGTGTCAAGTGATGTGGCCATATTTCAGAAAATAACTTCCTTGTAAATAAAATGGTATTCTAAGGCTAAAATAGATATGTGTATTTCAGATCAGTCAAGGTGGTGAAAACATATTTGACAGTTATACATGTTAAAGAGCTACATATTGTCTTGATGCTAAAACTTTGTGAAACTTTGCATAGGTAAACCATAACATGCCCTTGAGATATTTTAGAAGTGAAGTTCTTAATTGTATTAAGTAATTGGTATTTCAGTAAAAAGCTTCACTTATTGGTAAAACTCCATGAAACATTGCATAGAAAAAGCATGGATATAGAGCAAGGTATCTCGATAGAGAACTTCTTGGGTCATTCAAAGTGCAAAAACATATAATACTTTTACAAAATCCACTAAATACATCCATGGAAGCCTTCCTAAGGCCCATTGTCTTTTCCTCTTTTCTTTCTCTCTCTCTCTTGTTACTCTTCTATTGTGTAACACATCAGTTTCTCTTTCACTGTCATCCACCCTTTCTATCACTATCTTTGACCTTATTCTCTTTAACCCCCCCCCCCTCCATCTCTCGGCCTTTCTTGCCACCCCTCTCTCTCTTAATTTTGTCTTTCTCCCTCTCCTTGCCACACTCCGATAATTTCGTTCTCTCTTTCTAATTGCCTGAATTTTGAAGTCAGCTTTAGATTTTTAAAAATTCAGCATCCTAAAGAAACAAGAGAAAGAACCCATTATGGATAGTCTATGGCTAAGAGATAGAACTATGCAAGAGCTATAAATCTAATTTGTATTTTCCTCATCTGCTTGATCAAGACTTTCATTTGAGATAGATGCTTGTACTAATACCTGGCCATTCATGCCTTCAATGATCCTAGCTTCAATGATTTCAATTCCTTCTTTGCCATCTTGGTCTTGGTCCTGGTCTTGGTCCTGGTCTTGTGATGATTCTTCTTCTTTGGTCCGAGATGACACTACTACTGGCCCTTGGTAGTTCTGGGACTGGTGTGACAAGGGGGACCAGGCATAGTTGTGGAATCCTCCTTGAGCATGGTGTGGTGGTCTAGACTTGGCCCAGGTTGGGCTTCTGTTGACCTGGAGTACCTGTACTGGTAGGGAGACATAACCCATCAACATGAAATCCAGGAAAGAAGCTCTTTTAAAGAAATGGGCTTTGCAGGAAAGAGTGAGTGTTGAACCTTATATTACATGTGTTTCTTGCATATTTAAATATATAAATTCTGTAGCCCACTCAGAATGGACTGCCAATTTGAGTGGCTTTCTCTTGTAATGTAACATTGTACTTCTACTGTAGATATGAACATGCTAGCCGTCAGCAAGTTGACTTTAATTTCTACATTCACAACATCAACACGGGGGGGGGGGGGGGGGGGGGGGGGGGGGGGGTGTTTTACAAAGATCCTAAGTTGAACTTACCTCTAAGTTGGACTTAACAATTATGGAAAGCCATTTCTATTATCAAGGAGATTTCATGTTCTTGATGTGGAATTTATATAAAGTCTAAAATAATTGATTTGTCGCTTTTTAACATAATTTATTTTAAGGCTACAAATGGCTTTCCATAATTTTAAAGTCCAACTTGGAGTTAAGTTTGACTTAGGATCTTTGTGAAACACCCTCCTGCTTTGAAGTGTGTTTTGTCATCTAAATAATAGAATTGCTGGATTAAAATAGAATGAAATAAAAACAGATAATGTTGATTAACCCACCTGTGCGCTAACCTCTTGAACTGTCTGTGCAGATGCCCTGTCTACCTCACAGTCTTGATTTGACCTTGATCTTCTGAGTTACAGATGTCTAGAGACTCATAGACTAAGCTTTGGAGTTCTTCCTTGATTTCATCATGGACTTGGCTCTCACTCTGGTTGTTTGGGAAGTCTTCAACAACAAAACAAGAACGTCAATGACGTAGCGCTCATCCGCATCTCGCAACAACAAATATCGTAAATTTTATGTGGTACACCTTTGAACTGGTCAAAAAATTAAAATTTGATGCCCTGGAAGGGCTCTACCAGATAAGGCCAAACCAAATCAAAATCGGTTAAGAAATGTGGGAGAAAAAGCAATTGTTGTTATTTTTTGAATAAATTAGCATAAATTACCATAATTAATTAATGGAGAACAATTTCAAAATTCTGCGTAGAGGTATAGTGTACCAAAGTTAGCTCTATGATATAAAGCAAATCAAATGTAAATTGGTCGAAATATGAAGGAGAAAAAGCATTTTTTGTGATTTTTAAAATTATTTTTGGAATAAATTTGCATAAAGTACCATAAACCGAATAGAGCAACGTCAATCTGGCGCTGCTCAGTGGCTGCCGGGCTCACGATCAATTGGGCAAAAAGAATTTCCGAATTTGCATAAATTACCATAATTAATTAATGAAGAACAATTTCAAAATTCTGTGTAGAATTTTAGTGTACCAAAGTTAGCTCTACGATATAAAGCAAAACCAAATCAAAATCGGTCGAGAAATGAAGGAGAAGAAGCAATTTTTTGTGATTTTTAAATTATTTTTGGAATAAATTTGCATAAATTACCATAATTAATCAATGGAGCAAAATCTCAAAATTCTGTGTAGAAGTTTAGTGTTCCAAATTAAGCTCTAACAGATAAGGCAAACTAAATCAAAATCGGTCAAGAAATGAGGGAGAAGAAGCAATTTTTGTTATTTTTGGAATAAATTTGCATAAATTACCATAATTAATTAATGGAGAACAATTTCAAAATTCTGTGTAGAAGTTTAGTGTACCAAAGTTAGCTCTACCAGATAAACAAACCAAATCAAAATCGGTCGAGAAATGAAGGAGAAGAAGCAATTTTTTTGTGATTTCGAATAAATTTGCATAAATTAGCATAGATAATGAATTTCACGATTCTGTGTAGAAGTTTTAAATCCCCCTCCTAGCCCTATCATATGAAACAATCAGAATCAAAATCGATTGAAAAATAACGAAGAAGCAGCATTTTGAAAACTGTGGATGCAGGACGGACGGACGGACGGACGGACAGAAGGATGGACAACGACGCCACGGCATGGCATAAGCTCATCAGGCCCTTCAGGCCGGATGAGCTAAAAATGATACTTATTTCAAAGAATGCAAGATCAGTAGAGAGTTTCACAAAGACTAAGATCGACTTTAATTATGGCAGACAGTTCGTGTCACTATTTTATCTCATCATTTACTGGCATTGGTTTTTCAAGGGACGTACCAATCGTGGTCACAAATCTACATTTCATTATTGAACAAAAAATTTTGAGAGACCAATGGTAAGAGCAACCATTGGCATGAATGGCCAGCCATAGTTAAGTCCAACTTAAAGTCAATCTTAATCTTAGTGAAACACTCCCCTGGTCTGCAGTTTTATTGACTTTTACTCTATCTTTAGCCTATGACAGTTTTAGCCAATTTAAATGCAGTTCTCCGATAAAATGCAAGAAAAGATTCTTATGTTGACATGAAAATGAAGTTACAATTTATTTTGGATTTAGAGACTGAGACACAGTTAGGGCAAACAAATATCATACATTGTATTAATAAAGGATTCATGCATTGTGGTACACATGAAAGTTTGGTTTCAGTTATTCTAATTTGACAATTGAACTCTTCACAATATCCAACACAGGATAGGCACAGTGAATCAACTATCAGCTTAGACCGCCAGGACTTTCAAATCTGCATTATCTGACTCAATAAATGAATTGCTTTTAATAGAGGAAATGGCCGTCTAACCTTGGCTTTGTTCTGTGATATCTTCATTGGTCTGTATCGCATCACACATAGTAACATCTTGAGCTTGACCCTGCTCTGCCATTTGAATAGATATAGGAGTAGGCTGACTTGGAGTAGGCTGTTGCTGTCCCTGTATGACTGCTATGTTGTTATTCTGGTTGGTCTGTAGCATGGTTGGCATTACGGTAGGGCAAAAAGCTTGGTTCATAACTACAAATGGAAAGGATCAAAGGGTATATCTCAGTGGAGAAAAGATTCTGTTCATAATCACCTAAATGTACATTCATAAACAGAACGCATAAACAAGTTGTGATTGGTTGATAAGGAAATCCATATTCATTTCAATTTTAAAGAAGACAGGATGACAATAAAGGTCTGCAGTTTTTAATTATGCATTTGCAAATTTTTGTTCTCAAATCCTGTATAATTTGTACACAAAAACTGATGAATTTAACAAATTTAACTGACAAATATTTGCTAAACGCTACACTAGGTACTGAGAAGCCATGAAGTATTCAATACAAAATTATGTATGTGGTGATTTCTTATACATAGCACAACAATCTTACCTGGCTGATTGTTTTGATTGTTGTGAATCATGGCACTGTTTCCTCCAAAGAAAGCTGTCATAGAAATAAAAAATATTTGTATGAATATTACAAACTAAATTTGTGTTGCTCTCGCTTTGTATCAAATTTACATATGATAATAGAATCCCAAGTGTTGTATTCTTAGACTTTTGAAGTTCCTGAAGACAAGCTACTTACTTTAGCATCATTCTTTCACTTTCTCACCGGAAGAAAAGGACTAAATAAAAAGATAAATAAATAGTGACTAGTGTTCATTATACAAAATTCACTAAAATGTAGACAGTTCGAACATTAAATACAAGAACCTTATGATTCAAAAAGTTTCATGAATTATTGAATCAATAAATTACCTGCATTATTCGGTAAGTACTGCTGTTGATTACAAGCTGAGAATCCCGACACATTCCACTGTCCCATATTAACAGGTTGCATAGCTTGTTGAGGCATAGCCATCTTCTGACCAGCTATAACATAGCCTACTGTAGGAGCACGATAAGGCTGATAGTACATGTTACCCCCGCCCACCTGTATAGGACCAGTGGGGCCAGGAGAGAAGGTGGATTGCATGGGTGTGGTGTCTGGCATCTCAACAAATGGATACCGCTGGGCAACATGCTGTTGTGGCTGGTAAAATGTTGGGTTGTTTCTGTTGACGTGGTAGAGGGGTGGCATGTAGTCGGTGCGGGTGTTTCCAATGAAGCGTTGCTTACGACGAGTAGCTTTGAGGGGGTTTGGTGTTCGACGGCGTCGAGGGGTTTTTGTGACGGGAGCATTCTCATCAAAGTCTGCATTCAGAGACCACAGACAGCCTCTCTTTGTTGTTGATTTATCCTCTTGGCTGATCTTACGAGATGTGAAGCGTGGTGTAGTCAGGGCATGGCGTATAGAGCTCTATAACATTAACAAAATAAATAGCACAAAATGGTACTACTTAATGCTCATACAAGCAAGACTATGAGAATGATAACATTTGGAAATCTGACAATTTAAATAACAAAACATGCATGTAACTTTGTGATTTTATATATCAAAGCAAAGAGAGAGAAGTCTAGAGAAAATTCTTGCAAATCAATAATATTCTGAGCCCATCTTTGATTTTGTATTTTCTGAATGGTTCATCAATTCTGGAGACAATCAGAATCATAGAAAGGACAAAACATGTACAGTTAGCTTCATTACATCTTGTCAAAAAAGTATATAGCTTCAGCTTATGCACTGTGAAGTTCAAAATATTGTTCAGGGCTTCTTTTTCAAACATTTTCTAGGTTTAGGCATTTGTCAAAGAATATATTAAAAGAGCCTCCTGAACCCTTACCTTCCAACTCTTCCTCTTCTGTCCAATGATATGCTTGTAGTAAGGAAACACCATTCTGCACAGAAATGGTACATATTGTTTTACAGAATTAAGCATCTATTATCCAAAATTATCTTTTAAATCTTGGAAAATTTATACAAAATGTTAATCATAATGTCAACATGTAAACCAATGAGAAAATAAAATGAGTGATTAAAATTATTGTTGACTTCCCCTCTCTGTCTTATCTACTCTCTTCTTTTTCTTTCTTGTCTAGATGTGCTCTATATATCCACCTCTCTCTTTTTCCCCTTTGCTACCCTTTCAATCCCTTATTCATGTACTTACTCCATCTCAACATAGACCTGAGAGGGCAGCATTTCCTTCTTAGTGCTCCTCTTGAAGCATTCCACCACCTGTTGTATTAGACCCACTGAGGGGCGTTGAACATGGGCGCAATCTATGCCACTAGGGGCTAGAGAGACTCCTGTCGATGCATTGTTGTTATAATTGATGAAAGTTGGCATTTGTGGGATAACTTGAGCTGCACCAGGTAAGGATGTGGTATGCCAGATATCAGCAGCCTGAGAGAAGCTCTGCTGCTTACCAAGTGATTGCTTTAGCCTTTTGATAGGAGATGACCAATGTAAAAATATGGGTTAAAAATAGAGCAAAGCAATATTGCAAAACACAAAACTAATCTTCCAGGAATTTGTATTGAAATATAGTTTTGAAAAGCTCAATCTGTAATTCATGTCCAAGTGCTACTATTACCTGTGACATGCAATATCAAATACAGATTTTGAAATATAATAGGCCCTTACTCCAATATTTTAAGTACACAAATTTAAAGCTTATGAATATTAAACAGGTAGAAATATAGCAAGCCTAAGATGATTGTACTGTAGAAGTTTGACTGCAGAATAATTGTGATGTAGCCCTCCCTCTCTGCAATCTCATGAAGATATGAACTGAGTCAGCCAATGTCAATTTCTTTTATTTTATTTTCCATTCATTATTTGTGTATGTTGACCCATTCTTATTCAGCTTTGTATGAAAGAAGACATTGTTTTTGTTAAATTGATTGAGAAGATGATTGTAAGGGGCTGGTTTTTCCCCTTTTTTCCTTACCGAGGATCCAGAGATATAGGTTGGACAGCCTGCCTCTGTGTCTGTGAGTTAGGATAAGCTACCAAGGTTTGTTGAGGGTTCCCCTGGGAGTCTGCTTGGTCCTGTGTGATAGCTAGTTGCCAGCTCTGTTGAGGAATGTCTGTTGCAGGGTTTCCTTCAATTGTTGAATAGAAATAGAGTTCATGTAGCCTCAGATCTACCAGTTATATTGGATCTAATTCTAGTTTCTACTGTAGATCTAAAAAAATAAGATGTTAGTCCCCAGTCTACTTAGATAATCTAACCATACATCTATAAATTAAGGGGGGGATGGGGGGAGTAAATGACTGAACAATGATCCTTACCTCAACTTCATGCATGGCATGCATGAGAAAACAAGCACTGCATAGATTAATCACAGTTTATTTCATCATGCCTACAGTATATGACACGCATTATGTTGGGTAGGGTCCACTGTGCAATTATTCTCATAAAATATCTGTATGCTTGCCACTTCTACGCTACAGTCTGAGTCAGGTTTTTTTTCCAAGCGTTCTTTCCAAGTTACATATGTTTTTACCCATAATGATAATTATCCTAACTCCATTTATACACATTTTCATCCAAGGGTATGAACAAAAATCACCACCTACAACATAGTTTTGTATCAAATACTTACCCCACCGTTGATCACCACCCTCACCCCCCCCCTTTTTTTCACCAACACTGCCCATGCTGTGGGGCATGGGGGAGAGTAGACCAAATTTTGTTGTCTCTTTCGTTTGTTTAATAGCCCCTTATTTAGGGTCGGCTCCTCTTTTTAGACCATAGGGTCTCCTGTGCAAACTTTATAGGAAAGAGAGAAGCCAACCCTACCCAAATAAGAGGCTAACAAACCAAAGAGAGAGACATTTTCGGTTTAGGGGGAGAGGGGATAGGAGGTGACAAGTCAGTTAAAAACTTGCCAAAACCAAAAGGCAAAATAAGTCTTTAGAACTTAAAGCCTTGATTCTCAGGTTTCAAGGAAAAAAAGATTAGCCCCTTCTTCTTCCTTTTCAAAAAGTTAGACTTAACAGTTAGACTTAGGCCTAGACCTCTAGTGAGAGAAGGTTTAAATCTACCAAAGCTAATCTAAGTAGATTCTAAGATTCATGGCACTGGACTAGACCATGAATCTAGTTCACTCTTGATCTAGATCTAGAGTCTAGACCCTAGGCCTCTATTTAAAATCTATTGTCACAGTATTATTCATCAATCATCAATGGTGATCTGTCAGTTTATGACAGGTTCAGTGACCCAATCAAAATTAGATGTCTAGCCTATAGCCAATATAGGCCTAGGGCCTATCAAGTGTCTCTCCGACTCCGAGTTCCTCGGTCTTGAGCCATCCGTTTCATTTCATACCATGTTGCTCCACATTATGTGATTATTACATCGTCTAGAAAGCCTTTACGAGGTCTTCCCCTCTTCTTCTTTCCATGAATACGACCTTCTAGTAGACTAGTCTACGACTCTGAGTCTGAGCATCAAGCCCCATCATGCCGCATTAATGTGTCCAAGCCATTTCTTCCGACTATTGCTGGAATGAAATAGTCCAGGCCTAGACCTAGAATTCTAGATCTAGAAATTAGGATCTAGAACTAACATCTAGATCTAGACTAGACCCTAGGCCTAAATAACAAATATAGACCTAGACTCTAGGCCTAGGGCCTAGTCTATAATGATTGAGGCCAGTTCCACGCCGACCCTCACTCAGCCATCATTCATTCATTCATTGAATTGGAGTCACGATTTTGCTTAAGCCTTAAATTAAACTGCTGTTTTAATGTTACAGTTAGATCCTAGACAGATATAGATTGTCTAGATGGAGATGTTAATAACTTCTTTCTTACCTTCACAATTTCCTGGGACATTGTTTGCTTCTTCCTCCATCGGCGGCTTTGCAAGTTCACTTTCTGTGGTTTTCATATCTTGGTTTGTTTATCTGGATCAGCTGATGTAATTTACCATGCGGCACTTCAATTAGTGTAATATACGCATAATATATGTAATGTACACGCTAACATAATAGGCGCATACACGCAGTTGGCTTTGGAGCAAAATGGCAATTTTGTATTCGATCCTGTGTTATTTTTTGCGCGTAATTAGTGCCAAAAACATGCGCATACGCGTTCCTCTGTGCGTTCAAACACCAGCAATGTAATTTCATTGGTTGATATCAAAGAGGGGAGACTGATGTTACATATATTACCCTCCCTCCCACTGGTCTTTGTGAATTTAGGCAAAAAACAAATAATACAAATAAATAAATGAATTAAATAAAAGATTTGAACGTTATATTTTCATTTGTAACTCTGTTGATAATTCAAAAATTGTCAATAATTAGATAACGTCAACTTTAACTTTTTATTAGTAGCATTTTGCAAACATATTTCTTGAGATATATTTGGCTTGATTGATTTGTTTCACAGGGTTAGGGATTCATTATTCTACTAGACAACGATAAAAGGGGCATAGAGACAAGAATTATCTAGGGCATATGAATTGACCCCATTACTTGACCTTGATAATGCTGTATTGGACAATAACGCAGGCCTAAGATTTTCCCCCAAAGACTTACACATTGGTTTGTATATAATTTGCTTTTCCATCATAAACAATTCATTCATATAGGCTAGGCCTATTTTATTTATTCATTTACTTATTAATCAATTTACTTATGTATTTGGGCCAGTACTAACAAATATACATGTTTAGCGTCCCCCGCCCGCTTCCTTTTTGGGGGCCGCCTTCTATTTTTGTTGTTGAATTTTTTTATTTTGTTTTAAAGAAAAAAAACACAGATTTTTTCTGATTTGAAAAAAAAAAATGTAGGCGGCCATCTTGAAAAATAGCCCGACTGTCAGGGAAAATGTACCAAGCGGCCATTTTGAGCGGCCAAGTGAAGAAAAATAAAGGAAAAAGGTCCTCCTCCTTCCTATTTTCAAAAAAGCAGGACGCTTAACATGTTTTGTTTTTATTTGGCCGATATTTATCTATTATTTTGTTCATTTGATTATTTATTTATCTATCTATATATTTATCTATGTATTCGTCCATTTTTTTTAAAAATTCATTGGTCTATTTATTTTGTATCAATTACCCCCGCAATTACCATAGCCGTGATTGATGTAGGTTCGGAAAATGGGCCCCTATCTTCGACAAAGGTCTGGATACGCCACTGCTAGTGTTATTATGCAGAGTTTGTTACCTCCTCAGCTCAATGTGGGTCGGCAAACCGCGGCAAACATGATGCACACTGTAGAAACATTTAGGCTTCTCACTTTATTCACCCCCCTCTTTCTCTCTCTATCTCTCTCTATTTATATATATCTCTCCTTCTCTTGCCCTCTTTACTTTTACGTTTTAAAATAACGAAGGTACAGGAGTGTCAAGTCTGACAGACGTGAGCGCTATACAATAACCCACTATGATTATTATTAATATTATTATTAAAACCAAAAGTAGATATCACTATTATAGTCTACAAGCAACACATTTCTCTCTCTCTTCACTCACTCAAAGTTTTGAAATTGAAAAGTTGATATCCAAGTGGTCGGGGAGGGAAATTCAGCCCCAGCACTTCTCCTGACGAAATTATGTGCTGATATGCCCATACGTTATATTTATAAAAAATAAAAATAAAATTTAAATTACTCTATGTGGAAACCAGCGCCCTCTTCGTATTATCTGTAGTATTGGATTTGCAGCGATTCGTTTAGTGAACTAATTTAAGTGAGATGACTGATAGACTTTGAACTTAAATCCGGGTTGATTATTAACCTTTATTATGACGGTTAATAACTATGTCTATACAAGTCATTGTTTGTGAACCGACACAGACAACAGGTCTCCAGTGTTACACTTAATGAGGGGGAGGAGAAGGGGGGGGGGGGGTACCCAAGTGGTACGTTAATATGCACTATACATTTTAACATATACTGTTACTTTATACGCCTACGATAACTATGCTTATTGCCATGATGATCAAAAAATTGTCTGCTAAATGAATTCTATAAAACTGTTTCATTAGTTTTCCACTTAATTAAAGCAACCTTTGGTCAGTGACGTCACAATTGCCGAGAAGGCCTTGGTAGACGGGAGATATACGGATATACACATGAAACATTGAGATATTCAATACTGTTGTGCTGGTCGGACTGTTCATTGTAACATGCGTTATTACCATACACCAATGGTATCACCGCGACATAAAATAACCCTGTTACCAGGAATCGCCTTTTTCTCAGTATTGAGCGTATACCTCCCAATTCTGGTTAGTGAAAAGACTATTCTACACAACTGACTCGGGCAGCAAGAAGCATTCGTACATTTTGAATAAGGATATGTTATTCTCGACTTGGTGATATAGTGGTGATATAGACAGAGTGGTATATAGTGAAAGATTATCAATAAGAGGCTGTATCTTCAATCTTCGATCAAGCAAAAAAGGACAATAATAATTCATCGGACTGGATATAACGATGGCGGCATCAAGGTAAAGGCTATAATAATTCAGGTAAGGAAACAGATTATTAATTATACGGAATATAGTTTTGTATCGTATTATTGTTGTATTTGTTTACTTATTACTGTTTTCTTAATGACTGTACGGACCTGAAAAAGCTTTAAAGGCAAGACAATTAAGAGGAATCCAGAGCATGTAAACTAAAGATATTAAGTATTGTGGCTCGTAAATGCACCTTATCTTGCTTTTTTTTCAATAAATATATAATTTTACAGTTTTAAAAGCACTCGTTGGTGATGGCAAGCATAATTATCACAACAAAAATGAAGGTTTATACTGCTACAAATAAATGCTTAGTTTTCCATGTATACTCCTTTTTCGCTGTACATGATTATTTTGCTTTTAAACCGATATAAAGAGAAACGACATTAATGTAATGTTTGTGATGACATGCGTACAATTATTGGAAGGGGCTAATAATTTCAATACATTAACAAATATCTTTATAATTTACAGATATACAAGTTTGATAATATTCCTTATAATAATAGGTTGTACGGCAGAAATTAGTGGTGGATCCAGAATTATTTTTTTTACGGAGGAGGGGGGGGGGGGGGTCTTAAACGTGACATGTCAACATTTTTGAGTACACACAAACAAAATTGGGGTTGAGGCAGCTTCCCCCAGTGTCCCCAACCCGTCGATCAAAATGTTGTAACAAGTCTACACCATCTCGATTCTTATGTTAATAATATAAGTGTTAAAATGAAAGCCTTTCTTGTTCATCTCGTTCATAAATCCTTGACTTGCTACGGAGATGTTTCATCAAGTCTTATCATAATTCATGAAACTTCTTGAATGACAAAATGCGAAACGCCCATATAATATACCCATACTTTTAAGTAAACATTAAAGGAATGCAGCATGATTCCGTGTATTTCCCCATTGTAAACATGCAGGGGAAATCCTTGTGTGGAGGGGGAAGGGGGGGGGGTTGACTTTTTTAAAACGATATGTCTCTTAAAGCCATTATTCCATAAATTATCATAAACAACACAGTAATTTACATACTAACCGCTCAATTTGTATATAAATGATTATTGCGGTATTTCTTATTCAGCAGGTTGAACTCAACTTCTCCAATCAAATAACGTAGTTTTGTAATTCACCGTATTTTAACATATTCGTGTTTTTCTTTGTTTTAAGATATCCACTCAATTTTGGTGGGTGGATGAACATTTTCTAATTTGATGCATGCACTTTTCAATAGTGGCTTGCTTAGGAAGGACCCCTCCCCTCCAAAAATAAACAACACACAAGGCAACATGGGGCTGGACAGATATCCATTCATTTCCACCCCGACCCCCCCCCCCCCTATGTCTATCAATTTCTGGATACACACCTGTTTCAAGTACCTGCTTCTCGGTAATACTGTGTAACCATAAGCACCATAGTTTATGTGTAACAGTTACCACAGTGATAATCCGACATGTTGTAGATAATGTGTGATTTCGATGTGGTTTTGTCAGTCTCTGATATCAGAAATCGGGTTTCATAAAAACAGGATGTTTATGTTAAAACAAATTTAACCGCAAATGAAATTACTGCCAACTTTGTTTATTTATTTAGTTTCTGTTTCTTCATTACACGCAAATTGCAATATCTTGCTCTGGACTTTCACACAACCATATTTTCATAATCTGTAATGAAATTAATTAAGATCCGTTATAATTCAATAGTGTTTACAATGACATTTTATTTCTATTTTAGGTACACTATAAAAAGTCGTCCCATCATAATAATATTAATATACAAGCACTGGGCCTACACTATACCAGTAGCCTATACGCAATACAAGGTTTGTAAATTATGCTATTGAGCTTTTTGTACGCAATCGAACACGTTTATTACGAAATTCCCTACAATGTCACGAATAGTATCTATGTCTGCTTTTGTGCATGTATTCGATAATTCATCGCTCTATTGCCATTGGCAACCGGAGAAGCCACGAAAATTATTAGCCTCGTTAAAGGGCTTTAGATTTCCTTTACAGCGAGAATCGACTCGCTCAATGCGTGAAAACATATAGCTTCCTGGTTCTTTTGATCATCATTACTTTATGGTCTTCTCAATGTCATCATAATATATTGTTAATCTTCATTGATTTACCATCATAAATCAAAGCAATCATATTATGATAATTCATGAACACGAGAATAACATTAATTACCACTTAATCGCTATCGAATCCGATATTTCAGAAATAATGAATATTAAACAACTATAAATACCTTACCATTAGGTACAAATTAATACAAAATAAATTATTGATTCATTCCTTAGCGCAACTGTGACTTCGGTGTCTACAATAAAATTATTGGCACTTCTTGTATGCGCATATTGAGTGAGTGTGCACGATGTGTTGAGGCACATGACATTGTTAGTCATTTGGGGATCAAACTGTTAATCATCATGGCCTTACCGTATGTACGTTACCATAGTTACTACCGAGTTTCATTTGGACCGTCCATGGGTATTGTCTAATTAAACGACGAGGAAGCATAATTAAGGCCGCTAAAAGATAACAAATATTTACAAATATAACAGCAGATGATCAAGGATCAAGCATTCGTTAAAATCAATGTTTGTCTTCAAGTTCATATCTATGATGGCCCAGCAGGGACATCGCGAATCGTTATATAGCGAATCTGTGAAATTCACGACGAAATATACGACGTCGTGAATTTCGTCCTAAATTTCGTCGTGAATTATTCGCGATTTCACGATTCGCGATGTTTCTTATGGGCCACATACGTAACAGAGTTTTTTTTTAAAAAAGGGTTAGAAGGATGGCAGATTATCAGACAGACGAAGCAGTGTAGGATATGAAAAAGTGATCATGAATTTTGAGGGTTATGTAGGCCTTAAATTAGGAAATGTTCTAAGAGAAAAGGAAAAACGAGATCCGATGGTTCTAAAAACTAGAAAGAAAGATAAATAGTTATTTGTCATGCATTATTTAGTTTCTGTTTCTTCATTACACGCAAATTGCAATATCTTGCTCTGGACTTCCACACAACCATATTTTCAATATTAGTAACGTAGTGTATAGGCCCAAGCAGTGCTTGTATAATAATATTATTATGATGGGACGACTTTATAGTGTACAGTACCTAAAATGGAAACGTCTGCAGTATGTTTATAAAACTCCACAGTAAACACTGTTGAATTGTAAATGCCTTCCCTGGAGTGGAAGTAACTTCTTAATTATTGTCTACTTTGTAAAGTCATACATTTTGTAAGTATACGACTTTGTAGTACATAGAATAAAGGTGGTGTAAATAAACAAAAGTCCACTATTGGAGAAGAGGGCGTATTACTGGGGAGCATGAGAAGCGAAGTGGGGGGGGGGGGGGAGGGGTGTTAAGGTGGGGGAAAGAGGGAAAGGGAATGCGAATAGAATATTGGAACCCCTCCCACACACTCCACCCCCTCTATAGATATAACGTGACGCCCCAGGAGAAATGGGGTGAGAGACAAAGAGAGAGAGAGAGAGAGAGAGACAGAGAGAGAGGGAGAGAGGGAGAGAAAGAGGACGGAAAGCTAGGGGGGAGAGAGAGAGAGAGAGTTGGGGTGTATTGGTGGGAATATCGAGTGATTGAGTGCATAAAAAAATGATTTGTGACATAATCGATATAGTTACAAGAAGACCAAAGTGATGATTGAAGTAGGTGCACGGTGCAAGCGTCAGTTGTTTATGTCCATTATTTTCTGCATGCAAACGTACATGTAGCTTTTACATAAAACATAATAATAAATTATTCACAATTATCAAGGTTTCTTTATGCTATTGACGAATGAAATACTAAACATGTCCTACACTTCACGAATACCATCCATGTCTCTATCAACTTCAGGTTTTCCGATCACGAGTGAAATTTAAAATATCAACAACAACAAAAGCAGTATGGGAAAGAAGACACAGCCCTACCCTCAACCTGCCAGCTCTCAGCAGCAGCTCCACTACCACCAGCCGCCACCAGCCCGGGTAAGACGAGCTCCTCACGGCATCACTGTCAGTATCTGCGTCAAGTACACAATCTTTGCATTCAATGTGATCTTCTGGTTGTGTGGTTTAGGCATCCTGGCCTTTGGTGTGTGGGGTCTCGTCTCGAAGAGTGTGTCCAGTGTCGAGGCTATCGCAGAAGAGGTATCTATAAAGTCGGAATGAAATTCTAGTCCATGTGTCGTATAGCCCACAGCCCTTTATTTGTCTTGCTAAACAAGACGTACTCCTTTTTACACTATATCCTCCATAAAACAAGTCAGTTATATTATAGGGAACTCATATAATCTATTTCCACTATAAAATATATTATCTATCACTGTTAATCTAAACAAACATGGTAATTCATCATTTTTTACAAAAGCACAGTAACAACAAATGACATTGCTTTAAACACCGATCCTTAATTGTTGATTAACAAAACAAAGTTCCTGAGAACATCGTGGCAAAGACGTCCAAGAAATCAACTCACGGGAAATTCAAATACCCTGTTGTACATTACCTATAGAAAACATATTCCGATTAGGTAATATATAATTTTACTGTTTGCTCATTCCTAAAAGTGATTCACAAGGGTATTAAATTATTATTGGGTTGATTTTAAAAAAAAAAGTTCCTTGCGACCGTATTTACAATTATTCATGCAGACTCACTTTGTAGTTAGAGAATTATACATGGTAGGGGCAGGGGATCATATTAATAACCAATTTAACCATTAATATCCTGGTAATACTTTGTTTATTTCGATGTTTTAGGTTGGAATCAAATTAGATCCAATGTATGGTTTCATCATAGTCGGTGGGTGCATCTTCATCCTCGCGTTCTTAGGATGTATCGGGTCATTGAGAGAGAACACGTGTTTGCTGAAGCTCTATGTCATCATCCTGGTACTTATCTTCTTGGCTGAGATCACCATCGGTCTCCTCGTCTACTTCTACCAAGATAGATTCGTAACGCTCCTTGATACATGGGTGGAGAAGACTCTACTTAACTACTTTGGTGAGGAGTGGTGGTGGGGATGATGATAGTGGTAGTGGTGATGGTCGTGGTGATGATAGTGGTGGTGGTTGTGGTGATGGTGGTGGTGGTGATAGTGGAGTGAAGATGGTGGTGGTGGTGGTGGTAGTGGTGGTGGTGGTGATGATAGCGGTGATGAAAGTGGTGGTGGTAGTGGTGGTGGTGGTGGTGGTGGTGGTGGTGGTGGTGGTGGGGATGACGGGGGTGTATTGGTGGTGCTGCTGCTTTTAATGACGATAATGGTGGTGGTGGCGATGGTGGTCTTTTGGTGGAAATGATAATGATAATGATGATAATGATGTTGATGTTAATGAAAATTATGAGGGAGATTGATATGATGGTCATGATGCAAATAGGGAAGATAGCTGTATAGGCCTCATTGTGGTGATGGTGATCATCAATGAGGATGTCATGGTGACCGTCGTGTTGATGAAGACAATGTTTATATTGGTATATATTGTGATGATGGAGGTGGTGACATCATTAATGAACCTAATGCCGACAATGTTCGGCGTTTGGAGGGGTGTGGTAGTGATTTGGTGATGATAATGTCAGGGCGGGGGTTGATCATCTTTAATAGTTCCTTAATAGTGCTGATAATGGTTGTGGTTGATGATGATGATGTTTGATGATGTGCTGTTGGCGGTGATGGCGGCATTGTGAACGAATGAAGGAGTCTGATGAACTCATGAAAAGTCACCATTTGAACGAAATGTTCATGTTAGTAACAATGAAATGTCTCCACTTATTATTCATCCATTTCTAGATGATCCAGACAGTCAGTTCTTGATGGATAACATGCAAGAAGGGCTGACATGCTGTGGTGTTAACTCTCCCGATGACTGGCAGAAGAATGCGTAAGACAGTATCTTATTTTCTCACGAATTGGGTCCCCTCCCCTGCCGCCGGCTGGATACGCCCCTGGCTTTGTTCATGATATCTAATGATATCAACGCCTTATATCCTATAGAAAAGGCACTGTATAAATCCAGTTATTATTAGTTTTATCCTTATTATCTACTACGCAGATTCATAGAGCCTTTAACAGCAATAGAAAATCAAAACAGATTTTCTGATGTGATCAAGTAGAAGATTGAAAGTGTGATTACAACTTGACGAAACGTTGCTCCTTGTCATAATGGATTTAATCCATTAAGCACTTATTGATAAATACATCAGAATGGCGATTTGAAAGAATGTTTATGAAACCAAAGGAGATGATGTACAGAAGAAAGACCAAGAGGCATTGGCTGAATGAGGACATTGAAAATAACCGCTCAAGAAGACAAATAACAAGATCGCAGCTTCCGATGACGTTAGCATCACATAATATTGTTCGGCTTTTTTTGTTGTATATCCTAATCTTTAGATTTACAGGCTTGGTGATTTAATGAGATAAGGCTTACAAAAAAATGTTGTATTGTCTATTGCGACCAACCCAGAATCATAAAATCTACGGTCGGCTTTTTATTTAGTTTTTCTTTTAACGATTTTTTAGAGAGAAAACGTTTAATGAATAAAATATATGTGTTAAAGCATTAAAAAAAAAAAAAATATATAAACATAGGTGCTGGCACCTAAAGGACACTACAATCTTCTTCTTTTTAAGGCCTAAAGTTGATGGGATTATTTTGTTTGGATACAGCAGTTGTTCAGATTAAATTCATCAATTGATGATATTTTTTCCAATGTCTACCCATGCAGATATTTCAACTGTTCATCCATAGCGGATTCACGATGTAGCGTCCCCTTTTCCTGCTGCGTCCCCGACCCTACTACATCAGTCATCAACTACCAGTGCGGATACGGCGTCCTAGCGCTACCACCCACCGAATGGTTCATGACCATCTACACCATAGGTTGCGCTCAATCCTTGACCGATTGGTTTAAGACGAACGTCATCCTGCTTAGTTGTATTGGTGGCGCCCTCGTACTCATGCAGTCCATCGCCATATGTCTTGCTCGCTCCCTGATCGGTGATGTCAAAGAAGTCAAGTCGTACTGGTGATCGAGTTTTTTAGATTTATTTCAGTTTGTAGGCGATACACACGAGGCGTTTTTTCGATGTTATTACATACGGGGGTGTTTAAGCCCTCTCAAAATTTCTCCAAGCCTCCCCCTCCAAAAAAAAAAAAAAAAAGCGCGAAGCTTGTGTAAAAAATAAATTAAAAAATCCCCCAGACAATCCCAAAGACCCCCCCCCCCCTAAAAAAAAAAGTAAAACTAAATGAATAAGTAAATAAATAAATACAAAATAAAGAAAGAACGAATCCGTTCTTGGAAATGAAAACCTAAACGTAAGCCAATAATCTTATCTCGAGACCAAAGCAGTACAAAAATGCTTTACGTTATTTGATTATAAATCCTTAGGGGTACTAAGTCACTTATCATGCTTTTAGGAGATACATGTATCTTATGATTAATGACGGATTTGTGTGAATGACATTCATAAAAAATAAAGTGCTGGTACACTTTCTTCACTTTTCTATCTTAAACTACTTTAGAAATAATATTGGAAATGTTTGGGCTAACTTTTATCGTTCAGTTTTGGTCTACAAAGAGAATTGCTTCTTTTCTACACTTCATTTAATTAGAGTATAATTAAGTGTATTTCTTGAAATATTTGAAGTGGAGACAATATTATTATCTGACCATGACTGTTTTGTATATCTTATCTTTATGTCTACAACGCGTTGTAAACTTAATTATTGTCTTCTAACATGTGTTATTCCAAATCTTTTCGTCGCATTGATTTTTTCCCCCCGATAACTTTTTCGGCAAATTTAATTGGTTTTGCTCGAAGGGAAACGATCTTCCTGTAACCATACTTTATTGGTCTGACGCCCCCATTTAAATATATTTCGCGACGCCCCTATATTAGAATATACAAGTTCACATAATCGTATTTGTCTTCTCGTAGTGCACTTCATCTCTCGTAGCAGTCTTTCTTTTAAACAGCAAGCTACTTTCGAGTCCAACATTGTATTCAGACTGTTTTCCCTTCTTTCACAATGATTTCGTCTCAATTATTTGTTTAAACTGAAGAAGATTATAAGTGTGTGAATAGTATATAGACGACTGTGAACAGTCCCCCAAAATGGTGATGATCATTAAACAAAACTTGAACAAAATTTAATTAACCTCTAAGATCATGGTCCTACCATAAGTGCAGGCTATTTGTTCATGCATTATAAGAGGTGATTATAATACACGACTATAATATACCTTTAAAGTAATGAGATTTCGTGCAGACGTAATTTTAATTTGACGCAGACATGTCTGCGTCATGGTGAAATATATCGGCTATCATAGTTCACACTGTTGGTTTATAGAAAGATACTTCACTATATCTTCACATAAGAAATATAGCACTCCGATACAATGGAACTGCATTTCAATTTGTATCAATGTGTTGAGACTAGTACTAAGTGCCAGTAAATATCAGTCTTTTCAGAGTTTTTCATCATGAAATAGAACATAAATGATTATCTTAATAAAAAAATGTTATAAACGAAACGAATGTGTCATACGTAAATTATGTTGCTTTGTTTCCCTATCTAACATGCCATAATTTATCCATAATGCTGGCTCAGATTAACACCTATTTCTTGAACGAGCGATATACTGTCTTTATCATACCATGAGATGGCGCTATCAATGAAGGGCTCCGTCCAGCTTTGAGTCAGAAGACGAAGTTTTATGGTTACATTAACAAAAAATGTTCTGGGGAGGGTGCACTCTAAAAAAAAAAAATCTTTCTCGATTCCTCGCATTTGTAACAGATGTTTCTGCATAATTATATTGACAAATGAAATACAAAATATATAAACACAATAATAGTATATCATATAATTGATTTATATAAAATGTGACAACTGAAAACAAAATATAATTAAAAACTGGAAAAAAGTACGGAGATAAATCAACGAATCGAGATAAATGCAGAGGCCCAGGCGCGGATACAGGGGGCGAGGGTGCCTTGCCCCCCCCCCACCCACCCCAAAAGAAGAAAAAAGAGAAAGAGAGAGAGAGAGAGAGAGAGAGAAAAGGGAAAGAAAGAAGAGGAAGACGAAAAGAAAGGGGGAGAATAGGATCGGGGGGGGGGGGGGAGAAAGAAAAAAGAGGAAGAAGAAGGTAGGGGAGATCAGTTGCGATTGTAGTACTGATGGGGGGATGCAAACATGGTTAATTTCTAAATCGATACGAGTGATTTACAAATGTTGCTGAAATGACATAAATTTCTGGGATTTTTCCTCATTTTTTAGTAAATTATACTTTTTTATGCGTTTGTTGGCAAATTACAATTCCTAAATTTACAGTCAGTCAAGAATAATGCTAATATAGAGGCCTACATGTCAGGGCCCGCGGAACAGCGGGTCCCGGGGGCTCGAGCTCTCCCTTCTTTTTCGGAAAAAGTATATCAAATAGAAACAGAAAGAAAAAGAGAAAGAATGAAAGAATAGTGACCTGACAGTGTCACACAATAGGTATCAAAATATGCTCATATGACCGTGATTAAATGCCTAAAACCCCTGAGCTTCCGAAGGCTCTGCCCTATGGATTCCATCTAGGGCCCTAAGGCGGGCCCCTGGATACTCATCTAACGGTAATTTAATGCCTTAAAGCCATGAACTTCTGGGGGCTCCTCCATCTGCACCCCACGCCTATTAGAGCCCTGCCAGTGTCACAAATAAGGTATCAAAAAAAAAACTGACCATAATTAAACGCCTAAAACCTTGAGCTTCCAGGGGCTCTCCCCCTGGACCGAACCAAGGGTCCTAAATCGGGCCCCTGGATGCTCATCTGATCGTCATTTTAGTGCCCAAACCCTTGAGCTTCTGGGGTCTTCGCCACCTTGACCCCACGCCAATTAGTGTCCTGCCAGAGTCACAAATAAGGTATCGAAATGTGCTCATCTGACGGAGATTAAATGCCTAAAACCCCTGAGCTTCTGGGGGCTATGCCCCCTGGACCCAACCAAGGGCCTAAGGCGGGCCCCTGGATGCTCATTTGACCGTAATTTAATGCCTAAACCCCTTAGCTTCCGGGGCCTCTGCCCCCAGTACCCCACGCCAATTAGTGACCTGCCAGTTTCACAAATAAGGTTTCAAAATATGCTCATCTTACCGTAATTAAATTCCTAAAACACCTGAGATTTTGGGGGCTCCGCCCTGGACCTCACGCCGATTAGTGTCCTGCCAGAGTCACAAATAAGGTATCGAAATGTGCTCATCTGACGGAGATTAAATGCCTAAAACCCCTGAGCTTCTGGGGGCTATGCCCCCTGGACCCAACCAAGGGCCTAAGGCGGGCCCCTGGATGCTCATTTGACCGTAATTTTAATGCCTAAACCCCTTAGCTTCCGGGGCCTCTGCCCCCAGTACCCCACGCCAATTAGTGACCTGCCAGTTTCACAAACAAGGTTTCAAAATATGCTCATCTTACCGTAAATAAATTCCTAAAACACCTGAGATTTTGGGGGCTCTGCCCCTGGACCTCACGCCAATTAGTGTCCTGCCAGTGTCACATGTAAGGTATCAAATTATGCTTATCTGACGGAGATTAAATGCCCATAACCCCTGAGCGTCCCGGGGCTCCCCACTCAACTCAACCAGGGGCCCTAAATCGGGCCCATGAATGCTTTTCTGACCGTAATAAAATGCTTAAAACCCCCTGAGCTTCTGGGAGCTCCGCCCCCTTGACCCCACGCCAATAGTGTCCTGCCAGAGTCACAAATAAGGTATCAAAATGTGCCCATTCGACCGTAATTTAATGCCTAACCCCTTAGCTTCGGGGGCTCTGCCCCCAGTACATCACGACAATTAGTGTCTTACCAAAGTCACAAATAAGGTATCAAAATGTGCTCATCTGACCGTGAATATAATTTTGCCTAAAACCCCTGAGCTTCTGGGGACTATGCCCCCCTGGACCCAACCAAGGGCCCTAAGGCGGGCCCCTGGATGCTAATTTGACCGTAATTTAATGCCTAAACCCCTAAGCTTCCGGGGGATCTGCCCCCAGTACCCCACGAAAATTAGTGACCTGCCAGTTTCACAAATAAGGTTTCAAAATATGCTCATCTAACCTTAAATAAATGCCTAAAACACCTGAGAGACCTCACGCCAATTAGTGTCCTGCCAGTGTTACATGTAAGGTATCAAATTATGCTTATCTGACGGATATTAAATGCCATAACCCCTGAGCGTCCTGGGGCTCCCCCATCGACTCAACCAGGGGCCCTAAATCGGGCCCATGAATGCTTTTCTGACCGTAATAAAATGCTTAAAACCCCCTGAGCTTCTCGGAGCTCCACTCCCTTGACCCTACGCCAATTAGTGTCCTGCCAGAGTCCCAAATAAAATATCAAAACGTGCTCATCTGACCGTGAATAAATGCCGAAACCCCTGAGTTTCTGGGGGCTATGCCTCTTGGACCCAACCAAGGGCCCTAAGGCGGGCCCCTTGATGCTCATTTGACCGCAATTTAATGCCTAAACCCCTTAGCTTCCGGGGCTCTGCACACAGTACACCACGCCAATTAGTGTCCTGCCAGTGTCACAAATAAAGTTTCAAAATATGCTCATCTTACCGTAATTAAATGCCGAAAACATGTGAACTTACCGGGGCTCTGCCCCCTGAATCCTGAGGCGGGCCCCTGGATGCTAATCTGACCTGAATTTAATGAAAAAAGGGTGAAATTACACAAGTTTGTGTTTGCTTGTTCTATAAACATATACTCATTACACAATCAACAATTGAAGAGAAATCATTGAAAGGGACAGTGAACATTTTGCTGGGATAGCATTTTCTGATACCAAATCCTGATATTTCATGCGCTCTTTTATCTCACCACCTGGTCAACAGTACTGTTGCAGATTAGCGCATAACTTTTCGGCGGCTTGGAACATGGGGTCAAAGGAGAGCGGCTTGATTCCACTCATTCTTTATCATCTCCCTGGTTGAATGTCGCAATAGAAGAAGAGGGACCTTTAAAAATGCCTTACGACAGTCGGTGCTATGGGAGATGTGAGTTGGTCTAGTGGTACGTTCACTTAGTCAGCTCCCTGTCTACGCCTACAAGCTGGCTCAGGGGGACCCCGATTCGAAACTGATCAGTCACGTCTTTCGGATAATGACGTTA